ATTTCCAATGACGCATAGAGTGTCATCATTAAGAATACCTGATGGAACAAGGTGAAGAGCAAATTTCTTCCCCTCTGAATTATAAATTGTATGCCCAGCATTAGCTCCACCCTGGTGTCAAAATATCTTCAAGGTTCAAAATAGAAGGTACTTACACTCAACAAATTTAAGAAAAGCAAGCAACTTAAGAATAAGATAGCTCTTTACAAAATAGATGATATCGAAACTCAACATGCAGAAGAGAAGTAAATTTATTCCTCTAGAATCCAATGATCAGCTATATTTCTCATTACATCAATTATGCATTATTACAAAGACACCTGATAAAGTTCTGCACAGCATTTAGGCTCGACCTACTGTTCAAACTGACCTTTTCTTTTGGACAACATCAATTAGTAGCAGTACCTCACCGTTCTGAATAAGTTAATCTAACACGTAATTATCTGTTAGTTAACATATACTTCTGTTGTTTACTGCTACAAAATATAAAATGGAAAATGGAAGACCTGTTGTTGCTCCTCATCTTCTTTAACTGATTGAAGGGGAAATAGATGAACACATCAACATTCTAATCTTCAAATTCTAAGCAAGCAACATTAGAGATAACAAATGCATAGTGTACCAGCATCCTCTGTATGGCCTCATTTCAATAAATTACCATCCTCTCGGTAGATGGAAATATAACATCCACAATAAGAAAAGGTAGATATTATGATTGGACGAGATGGATGGTCACTAGTGCTAAAAAACAGATAAGCTACCTTAATTATCCCAAAACAGAATGTGGAACGTGACAACCTTCCAGTTATCTATTGTATGTAAAGATACATACGCACTTCCCTAAAAAAGGAAAAGATATCCATATTCAGGGGGTCAGGAGAAAGAAGACCATCACTAGAAAAAATGGACCATGAAAACCTTTCAGTTATCCATTGTAGGTAAAGATATTGACAACCTTGCCTAAAACAAGTCAAGGGTAAAAATATCCATATTCAGGGGTTAGGAGAAAGTAGAAAGACCATCACTGTACAAATAAAAAAATTAACCCTTGAAGTTGCATAAAAAGGCATGAAAGCCATTGGCATCAGTCTTCAGATACAACCTTAGTATCATTAACTCCTCAACAACAGTGCTCTTTCCAAGGTCTGATTGAGTCAAATCAATCGACCAATCAAATGCATTCAGTAGATATTATGTACTCCCTAGGCTCTTAATGCCAACCGGCTCAAGCATTCCATCATTGCCACGCCAACAACCAATCAAAACAACAGCACCGTCTAGGCATCTCCAGAAACCTTATCAGTGGAGCAACATGATGTTGCCAATGAAACCAGCCAATTGGTTTCACTGTACAGCTAATTTCTTGCATATCGCAGCTGCCACCACATTGACTAAGCTACCAATCTCACAACACTGGAGATTCTTTCAAGTTAAATCTTAAATAATTTTCGTAAATCCGACTTTTTTCAATGCAAGCAAATGTCCCAACCCAACGATGCTTATTAAAAGAATTTTCAACTCTCCGTTCCGAATCCCAAGACAGAGCTGTAGACCACGATCGAGGTCATCTGGACCTCAAGTTGCCTCCTTTCCCTCCATCTCAATGAATACACACCTAAATGCTCTGATGTTCTTACACCACAAATCTAATGTATGCCATCCGACTCCCTTCCAAGTTCATCCCCGACTATCACGAAATTTACTCTTGAATTACATTCTTTAAGCATTCAGTTGCTGATTTCTCAGAGGTTCCCATGCTCCTTATAATCATTCAAGTCATTTCAGACACTGCATGCTCAACATGTCAAATCCAACGGCCTGATCACTATCTAGTTCAAACAAAAAAAAGTATACACTGACGTTTCCTTCTCGAAAGTATAAGCGCATGGACTCCGTGACTTCACTCAAAAGACAAAAAGGCCAAGCGTCACGTACTCGTGCGACTCAAAGAGTATAAACGGATGCCGAGACTCACCTGGCAACGAGCGACGATGTCGAAATGGCGGGCCAAGATGTCGACGAGCTTGCCCTTGCCCTCGTCGCCCCACTGGACACCCAGCACGCCGGACACCTGGCTCAGCCCCCCGATCCGGCTCGCCGGCGACTCAGGGGCGGCGCTGACGGAGGCGGCGGCGGCGGCCCGCGGCGGCCTCGCCGAGCAGACGACGGCGGGGCAGGGGCGGCGGGCGAGGAGGGGAGAAGGAGGGGGCGGCTTGAGGGGGGCGAAGGCGCCGTGGAGAGGTGTGGAGGCGGGGTTGGAGTCGAGCCGGAGAGCAGAGAGGTTCATGGTCGGAAGACTCGGAACGTCGACTGAGAGAGAGAGAGAGAAAGAGAGAGTAAAAAAGCGATTTTTATTCTTTGGAGTTGGACAGTGATAGTGTCACCCGTGGAAGCACGAGGAGACGAAGGAGCGTGTGTGTGTGTTTTTTTTTTTTGTTTTTGTTGGTCAAAGAAAGGAAGGTGTGTTTTTTTTTTTTAACTTTTGTCAAAAGAGGAAGGGCGGCTTTAGATACATCTATTTATGTTAACCGGTCCTATTGAGTTTAATTTTGTTAAGCATAAATTGATATTTAACAACACATTTTTCAGAAAGATTTGATGGTTTCTGATTTTCTAAGTCGTTTTAGTTCAAACAAAATAAAATTATTTCATTCTTTCTTGCATCTAATGGCAGAGGACAGCTTATTTTTCCCTCTAAAATAACAAAAGCAAAACTTTTCCTTCCTAAAATCATGCATGATATCCTCAAAAACCTCATATTTTAAGTCCAGTTCCAATTCTATACTAAATTTTTTTTTATCTCGTAATAAAACCTCCAACTTTAGATTTAATCCCAATTATGTTGTAAACTTCTTTTGTCCCATAAAAAAACCTTAACATGAGGTCTGATCCCAATTTACCCTAAATTTTTTTTTTGCCCCCGTTAATCCTCTGTCCAAAATTTCTTTTGACAACCGAGAATTGAAAAACCCCCGAGCGCGAGTTCTCCGACCATGAGTGATGGAAGACTCATGAGTATGAGAGATTGCCTACTGAGTGTAAACTCGAAAATCACCGAGCGAGATGGAAAAAAGACTCTCTTAAAAATAAGAGCAATTGAAGAAGGCCCACCCTAATTGCTACGATGTCTTCTTGGATCTGAAATTTAGGAAAAACTTGACAAATGGCATGGAAAGACCACATCATTAAGTGGGATTTTGGATGAATTGTTTACGGGGCATAAACAGGACTCAAGCAAATGTTGGTGGTTTTTTATGAAACTAAAAAGAGTTTAGGGTAGAATTTGGACCGAACATAAAGTTGGTGACTTTTTACAAGACAAAAAAAAGTTTATAGTAAAATTAGGACATGATCAAAAGTTGAGGATTTATTATGAGAAAAAAAAGTTTATAGTAAAATTGGTACTGGAGCTAAAGTTGAGAGTTTTTTAAGATATTAGGCCCCTAAAACCACGAAGATTTGAAAAGAGATGAAAACAAGAAAAGAAAAGGAGAAGATCATGACTAAACTTTTGTTTTTCTTGTTATTCAATCAGGAAGAAAGTTATTAATATGAATCATGCCCATAGATTTTTTTTATGATAAAAATTAATTTTGAATACGAAGAAGCCGTAACTAGCTAATTATTGACTTCCATCGGAATCACTTAAATTTAGACAAATTTGATAGATTCGTATAAATTTCACGTAAATCTCATCAAATTTAACGGTTCGAATTCACTTTTATCTATGCTAAGTAAGGTTGGAGATGATTTTTGTAGTTTCCCCTTGTAATAACTTCTCGTTGTCACAAAGGCAGGATTATTCAAAATGGACACAACATTGATAAGGTGTATATATCATAGTTTTGATGAACTCGCGACGCCAAGTCGAACGTCATAACTAATTCATAAGGCATTTTCTTGGGGTATGGACAATAAGAGGATTTGAAGTGTAAATATTCTTCTTAGCATGGTTTTGTCTGCTCTAATCACACACGTTGAATAGATATCGACACAATCGTTAGACAAGATAACTCCAAATCGACAAAACCCAAAAACGGTTGTACTGTTTACTACCGGCATCTATTAAATGTATATAGCACGATTTGAAATTGATTTCCACGAATAATAAGCAACGTCATCAGATTGGATGCATTTGAATCACAAGAGTTGCACGGGTTGGTTGCATAAGAATATGAGTTCAATTGTAACGCGCCAAACCGTGTATCATTCCGGTTGACATGAAATCAATCATCTTATACATTAGTCCGTCCTAATGGTCCGACCCCTTATGGACCGGCTAAATCCCTAAAACCGGAGTTTTAAACCACACACGAGAAGCGTTATGATCTGCAGCTGTGATTGCATTTGGTACATCAACTTGGATTTTCCAAGAAATTCCTGGATGAGCTAGGGGGTTTGGCGTTGGGGGCACGCCGATTCTACGATTCGTTTTGTAGGGCCTGCGCGCTTCGGCTAGGCCTGGCCAAAACTTGAAAAGGGCTACAAAGAGTTGGGATAATCTTATAGCTCAAACGGATATCTAAGTGGGACCATTTCTTGGTACATGTCCATCACCCGAATCAGATAAGCAATTTCAATAATTTCAAGAAAAAATATAAGTTTTCTTCTGCACTTTTTTTTTTCTAATTTGGATTTCATTTTCATGTCAAGGTGGTTGAGCATACTCGAAATTTATGATCGCCGAGTTTAGTGCACATTTTGGCCGACATAAGTTCCTGTTTCGAAATATCTGTCAACAGATGAATATCATATGCGAGATGATTTCTTTTATCTTTTCAAGTTGTCGCATCATGGACACTTTTCAAAAACATGATTTTGGGCCTATCAAAAATCTATCTCATGCTTGGAGGGAGTCCTCATGAGAGTCTGCCAAGACTTACCCTGGTTGCTAAAGGGCACTGGATGAGTGGATCTTCATCTATCAGGAAAGGAAAGCTGTAGTGTTTAAGCTCAACCGAACCCTTCATTCATTCCCACAAAAGAAAACCTTTCATTCATTTGCTCATGAAACAATTGCATAGATAAAAAGTGTTTGGGATTCTGAACTTCTGTAATCAAATATGTCTGAAATTATTGGGACTACCCTCTGGCTTGGGCTCCCGTATAATGATATCGAGCAAGGAAGGGATCTAGCTTTCTGTTTATGATGACTACTGACTGTGAAAGAACCAATAAATATAGACATTTCTTAGAAAAATTGAGATACTTTCCTCTAATTACTGATCATGATAGATTTTACGTGTGAGAAGGGAAAAAACGCCTGTACTCACGTTCGCCTTTGTTTAGAAAATATGCCGGAGTTTGGCACCATCTTCGCAAAACTGTGGTTCTCGGGATGGTGTGGCACTGCATGCACTTTCTTTAATCCAGTAAGTCATCAGCATCTGTAGCTCATTCGAAGAAGAGTTGTTGCTACTATCTGCAGTTTCTCTTCTATTGATATACACTCAGCTCCCGCAATACCCGAGAACTCCCTTCAGGGATTGATATGGTAATTCAGGTGGTTTTCATGAGGCACTCTTGTGGCAGCCCAAACTCCTTATTCTGATGATCAACTTGTTGCCTCCATGGATCATTGTGTAACTTATAGTGCAAGACCTTGTAAGGACAAAAATAGATGAGTCATTGTTCATCCTCATACACACGCACAAAAACTTGGCAATAATATGCAATATAGAAGGTACAATTAACATTTCCATACTCCTCATGATATGGAACTGGAGAATGTTCAAGAATGAAGATCATTGCAGTCTACTAGCAAGCAGCATGAAAGCGGCTACCACAATCATTTGGGAGCGTCAACATACATTGACCCACTTTGCTTCCACTAATATCGGCACAACTGCTAATGCACGGTTCTCAAAGTTGTGAATTTCTACGATGAATGGGCTGTGACAAAACAAATTACCTGATCTAGAGAAGGAGAAAACCTGAAAATTTTCTCTTCTGAGTTTCGTGGCGGTAATAGAAGGAGCGGGCAAGTTGTCAACAATGTGTGGACAGAGTTACACAGAGAAATAGAAGCTCGACCCACTTTTATAGTCAAAATGGGCGCAAGGATTTATAATTTGGTTTTTCTTGCTTATTTACACTGTTTTACATCCAAACCTCTTGGTTTTTACGTGAGGAATAGGATCATATCAATGATTTTGTTTCAGAGATAAGCTTTCCACGATCTTATGTTGATTTTTAAGCTTTATAAGAACAGGAGTGTTTTGCTAACGGTAAGATTAGCTAAGCTCACTAAAGTTGAAAGAACGTTTAAAGAAGAAAATAATTACATCAAGAACTAAGCAAATTAATCTTATCCACATTTATTTCCTGCCATGTGGCTACTGAAGATACATTATGTTCTTTTCCCCGTTGCTGTCCATGTTGCAACTGCTGTTGCTCATCCATGATAAGTCTTTAGTCCACAGGGCAACAAAATCTAACACGCATTTGTTTTGTGGTTAATATTAAGAAGTACCTGCAGAAATGTGGCAAAGACATCATCTTCACTGAACTTCAGAAATGCACTTGCCCAGTCGTCCACTCTACTGAAAGCATTTCTCTGCCTCTCAGCCTCTAGCAGAATCGAATCTCGGTACATGAACCTCTGCCAGATTTTCTGAACATTTGCCAGCTTGAACCTCACTTCTGTCTCATTGAATCCCTTGAAATGTAAATGGAGTGCCAAAAGTCATCAGCAGTAAGAGAAGTATGTCTTAGGAAAATGACATAGTATTAGTGTCATTTGTCCTACAAGTGTCCCACTTAAATTTGTTAGCATGAATTAAAACTATTACCCGCAGAATCTTTATCATGTCAGGAATTCCATCTTCACGTAAACGAACCGCAAAGCTTTCATAGTTGAGTACATTCTCATATGGCAAGTATATCCCATCCTGAACATGAAAAATTTCAAACAGAAATAAGAATAGAATAAATTTCGACTTTTCCACACAATAATTAGGAATGGGGACTCTCAAAATAGTACATGAATCGTTAAAAGCAGAACGAATGAAATAAGCAGGCTAGGCTGAAAATATAGGACAAAATTCAACTTGCTCTGAGATAATAATCCAATTTTGAACTGTATCATCTTCTCTTATTCATTGTCAAGTGATGGAGAGGTTATGATTTAGCAAAATGTGCTCTTAAGGGAACACCATCTTGCAAACAATTGAATCTGACTAGACAATCACTTCATGTTCACGTAGTAACACTAACATCAGATGAAGGAAATCAAATCTTTAAGAAGAACTAACATATGACAGTAACAGGACATGTTCTGTTCACCCTACTACAGTCACCCAGGATCTTCATGCAGAACTAGTTCAGTTTCATGAGAAAAACACTAATTAAGTTTAAGAAAATTAGTCTCTAAATCCACTGTCTGTGGCAAATGCACTAGGAAAATGTGCCAGTTAAAAGTAAAAACTGTCCAAAAGGTTAAAGCTCTTTGACAGAATAGTATTCCTTGCCATTCAAAACCTACAAGTTGCTTTCACAAGATATTATACTCTACTAATTCTTTTTTTTCCTGGCCAGCAATATTTTCTCTGCTATGTGCCAAATCTTAAGACCCACATTAGTAGTGTTTCACACCAAATTCAAGATCAGAAGATGCATAATAAGCATTTCTGATCTTGTCAACCAACCATATCCATATCCAAAGAAGGAATAGACCCAACAGCCCATGCTACCCCACCTTTTGCATGCCGAAAATACATACTTTAATTGAGCCCATGTGAAGCATTCTTTAACGTCCACGAGATAGCATCATCAGGAGAACAGAACAAAAATATATACCTGAATGACCACAGGAATGCATCCCTGCAATATACTATCTTCCATTCGACCGCTCCAACCATCTCCAGGCAGCACCCCACAAAAAATAGAACTAGCTAAATCCTCGTGATAGTTGTCAGAACGCAGTGGGGTCACTATCACATCTTCAGCATGCTGTCTCCCAAGCTTCCCTTCTTTGTTAGGGCTTGATCCAAATTCTTCTGCCAACTTCTGTCTGATACCCATGCTATAGCTGCAGATAAGGGGAAAAATGTAGGAAACGTGAGATAAGAAACTATGCCATGGAATTCACTTTGGGAAAGAAATCAGCAAGATTCACTAAGGTATCTTCATCTCTGCTCTCTCTCTGGCAAGCCGGGGGATTTTTTGCCCCCTTTTGTTGGAGGAGGTTGTTGGCATCGATGATGCTATCGAGACGTTATAGGTGTAGGAAATTGTAAGCTCGGTAAGGTTGGCTCATCTAAGGCACTTCCCGAGCACTATCTTCCAAAATGAAAACGCCATAACAATATAATGGAAGCATCTAAAAAGGTCCTGGGATTACTTACGTGTCTTCCGGCCTTCCATTTGCATAAGCTGGTCCCAAATTTCCATTGAAATAGAACAGTTTTTTCCTTTTCTCATAGGGCCTACGAAAGATTTGCATCGCTTAGCTATAGTAAAATGCTCCTAAATTCTTCACTCGGACAAAACTACAATGAATGAGAAATCTGATGAAACAGAACCCGAACCTAGCCCAAAGATTCAAGTTTACAGCATTTGCATCAGGGATCTTCCATGCAGGAAGAACTAGATCTTTATCAGGGTCGAAACATGGATGGTCCCCCTTTCGATCCAAAGAAATTCGATCCCAGTTATCAGCCCAGTAGGCTGTGGTTGAGTGGTTGTGCTTTGAATTTGTATTACCCCAGTGAACCAACATCATGCTGTTCCATATCTCCTTGGGGGCATAGCAAGCACCTTCATCCCAGGAAAAAGACTGCAAGGAGATACGAGAATCACGTGATAAGTATATGCACCAAGAGTGGCTGTGTTATAATATTCAGTCCCTTCCACTCTGTCTTTGTGTAGGAAAAGGGAAGAGTTCCTTATTATATACCCATATGTGGTCCTTTCCAGATGAACGGTTCCAAAAGGGATATTGGGAAACTATGTGATAGTATGCCTTCTTGTAAAAATCCAAGGTGAGAGAGCTCCTCAAACCCATATGGTCCTGATAAGTAGATACAAAGTTGCACAAACAATTGCATCACTACATATTCAGAAAAAAGAAGACAATCAATACTCGAGAATTTAAACACAGAAGCTCTTAAAGCACAGAAAAAATCGTGGTAAAAGAACAAACATCGGGTGATAAGTTCCCGTAACAGTCACGGGCTAACCTGAACAAATGAAGGAAAATAAAACGATGCATGAAAATGCACATAAGTCACATGATTATATCCTGTACCAGATAGGTTAAAGCAACTGCTAAGAAATTGTACCTGCATACTCAAATGAGGCGCATCATCAGCACGAGTAATTATGCATGAATCAAGAACAGGCACGAAGAAAAAATCTGCTTCTTCACCATTCAGTGTCCTGTGTGGACTAGCTAAGATACTTTCATAGAGTGCCATCTGCAATCACCAGAATAAAGATAATTGACTGTTACTACTGTGGAAGGATTTAGCTTCGAATAATTGGTAATATAACTACTAAAAAGAAATAAATCTCAACTTTTTCTACGGATATGCTTTATAATGTTCTACCTGGGAGCCATACAGCTGGTCTGTCCACAGAGTTGCATTCCTGTCATCATAGATTCTGTTGACACATTCAAACTTGAAGTGTCGTCCCTGTAGATTCCATCTAATTGTAAGAATCATATCTACATCATCCAAATATCTCAAGAAAAGAAAAGGCAACTCTCTCTCTGACCTCGAGAAGTAGACTGTTAAATTCTGGGGGCAGATCATACACGTATATAAGTGGCCTCTTCCTTCTTAGAGAAGTGTTGAGACGGACAAGAGTCCCCGTGAGATTCTTATTAGTAGGAACTTCAATTTGAGCTGGGCGTAACCATCGAGGCCAGTCTCCCACAGATGACACCACCGACGGAATACTGCAATCATCTCCATACCAACCATTCTCACACTGACAATTAGAACATGCTCATTTATAATTGCAGACCATCAACACAACAAGAATAAAATGCAACAAGATGTGGTAAGACTAATTTGACCTTACTAGTGTCATTAAGATCAACTAATAGAAAATGCATGTAGACCCAAAATTCACTGATGTGTACACAACAACAACGACACAACGGACAAGAAAAATGTTTTTCCAAGAGGTAGGGCACTTTTACATCAATAAGTTTCGTTAGACCACAATGAATGGAGCGGTCAACTAGGAGAGAAATTAAAAAAAAACTCAATTATTTAAAGTACTCTCATCTTATTACAGAAAAGTGGGATGCAAACTAAAAATGCTGTTGCCAGATCCATTAGCTGTAGCTCTCGTTCTGAAACATAAAATGTTTCTTACAGAATGTCCGAAATCCAAAAGGCAGAATAAGTGCATGCTGACTTATTGTCCATGCATTTCCATCCCCAGTCAAATAACTTTTCCATTATCAAGAACAATAAACAAGATCCGCCAATTAACCACCCCAGAAGATCTAGTGGAGCTATTAGCACAAGATGCAGAGGAGTTGGTGAAATATCAATCGTTTGCGGAGTGGCAAAAACATCTCTGATAAAAAAACATTTGCACTAGCTTATGTACTTTGTCACTTCGAAATTGAAAAGGATCGTCAATCAACTTGTCCTATTTGAATTCGAAATTAAGTTGAATCATCCTGCACATGAGTGTAAAACTTATACCTGACAGAATCCACCACGACAGTATCCATGTCCAGAGCACTGATTGATACAAGTGCACAGCACTGGCACTTCACAAAACCTACCCCATAGGCCATCATATTTACAGTCACACTCCTCCTTGAAATGTACCTTGGAAGAATAAACATCAGCTGGATCCACATTACACCATCCTGGCATACTACCATTCGTTGTGAATATATTCTCCAAGTCAGCTTTTGCCCAATCAGTTACTTTGGGACCTCCATCTTTAGAAGGCAGCCTAGAAAATATTTCCATCAGTTCCCACTAATTTAGTCCAATGGAACATGTGAAGCAATGCCCACATAGTCATTTCATATACTTACTTCACTTGAAACCCACATGCCTCAGCCACTGGACGGTTTGGATACTTGGTTCCTTCTCCACAAAAGCACATGGCTCTAGTTGTATCGCAGTGAGCAGAGCAAATTGAGACAACCCATCGCCCAAATGGTAGCTCCGATGATGCTGGGTAATTGCAGTCCAGATGCAATTTCTCGGAGCATCCTTCCCCTGTCCCAGATGGTGATTACTTTATTGGACAACGAGGCAACTAAAAGAGTCACAGAAAGGAGGGTATTTTCTATGATTACCCTCGTAGATTTGCTTACACAAAATAATTTGAGAATAAATAATTGGAAAGATAAGAAAATTATCCACAATATAACTTTGCAGCGGAAATAACCCCCAACTAGATAGAGCAGATGTAAGCAAAGACTATAGTGAATTTAGCAACAACAACATATTTTAAGGCATGAATAAGAACATTATAACAAAATGGAAAGCATAATTAACTCCAACATCCCAAATCTGTGAAGTTGTGGACATTCCATAAGTTTGGATGAGGTAAGCAGATCTTGTGAGACATTCCCAATAAATAAATCCTGGAAAATTTGGTAGTGTGACACACAGAAGTTCTCCATATTGTCCCAAAGCAGCTTGTAATACACATAAAGGCTATACATTCAAGCTATTAATTCTGCCATTTCCATTGTAAGGTAGATCACCAGCCATGAAGCCATACTTTGTTCACCCAATGTTCGAACTAGCAAATGTCATGGTTGCTATATATTCTAAATGCACCAACCCCAGGAATTAGCTAATGCCAGATCCAGATGTTATCCCTGTGCCTAAGGCTATGGGCAACACTACTTTTTAGCAATTTAAGTTCAATCGATAACAGGACAGGAACATGAAAGAAGAAACAGGACTTAAAAGAAAAAACTTAAAATGCTTTATATCTTAATTGCTCCATATGTCGAATACCGTTCCCCATGTGATGAATTCCCTTTCGCAGTCCCCAGGTGATGATTAAATTGATCAACTAGGCAGATAGGCCAGCAGGGAAGATTAGTCTTCCGTATAACCGGTAACTTCAGTGCAGATGATGTACATTTCATGGATTCTTGGTTAGATGTAGACAATGAGAGAACTAAAAGTAAAGGATAGAACGCCAATCATTAATTGATTAACTCAAACTGGTGTTATTGATGAGATTACAGAATCCTCGAGATGATACTAACCACTGAAACCATGAAAGCAACGGCATTGCCCTAACTCGTGGTTACAAATGCCTTGACCACTACAATCATCTTTGCAGCTCAGGCCACCTATAACCTGCCAAAACAAGAACAAGTTATAGACAAGAGCACAATAATGCGCGCCAACATCAACTTCTATCCAGCATTTACATAGAAAAGGAATGTGTTTGCAGTTTTCGATACTTAAGTATCCAATGATGCTGATGCCGACCAAGCTACTTTTGTTTATTAGTTCTAAGTATACGCAAGAATTTACACCTCTAAGCTGAAAATGCTTCAAGAAAATCAATCGTTGACAAGGAAGAGGACAAAATCTTTGTCTTAATTACCTCAACAACATTGACTTCCTCTGTTACAGAATCACAGCCAGATAGCCACCTACCTATCCTGGCCTTCCAAGGTGCACCACGATACACCACCGCGTAGTGAGAGTCGGCTGGGAATTGGTTATCCAGATTAACACGTGATTTTATTCCCTGACCATTACTCGTGCCTCCCTCACTCGATCCATTTAATGGCAGGCAAGAGTTTTGAACTCTTTGAGCACTTAAATAATCCAAAGAAGGTACAACGGGATACACGAATAGATGAACCAACGAAATCAATGCCACAATAGAAGCAATCGCTCCGGCCAAAGACCATGAGAATTTCAGTTTCTCAAGATGAAACATCCTTCAATAACAACTCGGGAACAACTTTCCAGCAGATATTTGAACTCAGAATCACCAGTGCAATCTCTGAACTCAAAATTGCCAGCGCTTCTCTATGCACCTGTCCGACTGAAAATTGGTACCTATAAGACCAATGCGATAGTTATCAAACAATGAATCTAGTAAAGAATGCTAATAACTTCACATAAGTATGGAGACTAGACAGTTCATTGACGAACTAGTTCATCATAAAGCAATTTGTATGCGTATGTCGCGCGCAATGTCCAATAGCTCGGCATGTCATTCGCATTGCAAAAGGCGACAACTTTTTCCAACCCCGGATATCGAAACAATTTCCAAGTGACACCCACAATTACTCGCGAACCCCGCGTCGAATTCCCCGCGTACGACCAATCACAAAGCAAGGCAAAAGAAAAAAACGAATTCCAACAAACAGATGACGGGTCAACACGAATGAAGCTGAGCAAAACTTCCAGCGATCAAAGAGAACCAACTGATCGATTCTCTCAGATCCAAAATGGACACTGGCGCACGGAACAAAACTCAGCTCACGACACCCGGAACACGAAGAGGAGGAAGAAGATGCTGAATCAACGTGACGACGCTGTCAAGCAATCACATGAAAGAAAGTCAGAGAGAGAGAGAGAGAGAGAGAGAGGAGCTCGCCATTTGTATACTGGCGCGCAATTTGCAGATTCCACCAAATTGCTCCCAAAAAACAATTGAGTAATCGCCGCCAATGATCGCCATGGATGTCAGCTGCTTCACAGATGGACAGAGAGAGAGAGAGACAGAGAGACCAGAGAAATTCCTTGTTATCCCCGAACGGACACGAGGAGGGGGGCGAAATTACCGCCCATGCCCCTCTCGCGTTGGCCTGTACGTGGGGGAGGGAGCCGTTGGGCTTGGCGGCAACCGGCGAGGGTAGAATCGTCAATCCGGACGTGAGCGTGAGCCGCGGGCTGCGAAGGGGAAGCGTGCGCGTGTAAAGACTAAAGAGGACGGCTTTTTCGGCTTTTTTGGTTTGGCCTAGTTTACCATTTACGTGCGAGATTGACCATCAAATTGATATAGTACGAACATAAGTTTGCTTTTTTTATGAAAAGGCTTGCTGAAATTTAAGTGAGAATTTAGGTAAATTAGCTTTGTTTCTCGCATTTAGCGACGTGTTTAATTATGATACATTAGGTAACCCTTTTCTTAATAGAGTCATTTGCATTTGATTAAAGCATATTGTTCGCGTCCGATCAGAGGTAAATCGTTCGTATTAATCGGCTGATGATGTTCGAACCTGAAGAGATCAGGCCAAATACGAATTGGACATTCTCGGCAATGGGGCAATAGGCTCAAGAGGTCATTTGTTCATCTCTGTTTCATAAATTCTTTGTTAAAACTTGAAAGTGTGTGAGTGCATCTTTCTCAATTTGTGTACTGTGTACTTGAGAGTTCTGCTAAACGAGTCTATTATTGCCGATGATTTTCAATGTAGATTAGCGAGTAAATGCATAAAATCCATAGATTCCATATCTACCACTGCATTAAATGAGTAGTTGAATAACGAAAAGACAAGTTGCTTGGGGACGTAACGTTTGTATTTGTCAGCTTATTTTAATTTGTACTTTTTTACTTTCTCTCTAAAATTTGAAGATAAAAACGTCTTATTTAAGATTCCAAAAGTTATGAAATATTCACGATAAGAATATTTTTCGTTTGAAATAACTAGTCAATAAAAAAATATTTTAATTACTGATAATAATTTACGTCTAAATATTTTATGAAAGATGAGAATATTTTTCATCCATTCATATTTATAAGCGATACGAGTGATTATTTTTAAAGAAAATATTTTTCAAATAATTTATTTTCGGCGAAACAAACGGAACCTAAGTGACGTGATTACATTTTACTAATTCGTCGATGAAGCGGATTTGGACTCGGGCTTTTGTTGCAGAACTAGAACCTTGGAAAAGAAAGAGTTGACTAGGCCTAAATTTTCTCTCTAGTTACAAGCAAAATGCCACAGCATGCGTTTTATATATTCAATTTGAGAAATAAAAAAAAATAAAAGATGATGAGAAAGTCGTGCAAATATATTATTTTTTTTCAAGATATGAGCTCCTCGATCCTTCAAGACATCAGACTTGAACGTGTGTCCATTTGAATACTAATGACTCAGCTGCAATAGGGATCATAGGATTGGGTACATCGACCTAACCTAGAACACGTGTTATTGTTCAATAGTCCTACCTTATTAATAACCATGGAAATTGCTTAATGATGCGGGGATTAGTCAAACGAACTACGATTTCTTTTAATCAAAAGCGGGTCTGTTTTTTTGCGAATTTTATGATCAATTGGGAAATTTCGATCGACGCGCCTATTTCTTCACGAATTATCGATTAGGTCGAAAGGAAAACTTTTGGAGAAATATCTTCCAAAGGTTGCATGATCTATCTACCATGCCCATTTTCCTTCATTGTGTGTTAGGAGTAGATGAGCAACATTTTTCAATGTAAGTATTTCTTTAGTGGTGAATGAAACTTTTCTTGCCATTTGTGCATAAACATCGGTGGTATCGTCTAGATTTCCTCTCGTCTACCATTTCGTAAGAAACATTGCTTTTGATGTGTATTTAAAAGTTCGAACGTTGATACTATTATTAGGAAAAATACAATGATGCTTTTGGGAATCTTGCTAGGTATTGCCACTTGGGAAATGCGAGGTATATGAGTCGCATATAAAATTCGATAGATAATAACATATGTTCTCTTGAAAATTGCACCAAGCACCAAGTAGTCCATAGAGGCGACAATTCCTCCCAGCCCCTCCCAACCCCTGTCAGCCCCTCATTATATCGTCGATTTTACTATTGTTAGTGAAAAATATACTTTAATAATCTAGTCCCAGGGATAATAGACACAATTTACATGGATATAGTAAGTCCCGATCCTGATACCTGGGTGGTACTCTATCGATCTTCTCCTTCAATCGCAGTGCAATGGAGAAGTGGCTTCGAAGGGACCAGTCAAGGGACAAGTCATTGAGGCTAGGAATCAAAGGGTGTCTACTTTCTAAGTTTCTATATCGTTCGGAAAGTTTTCAGGCCTTTAAACATATCCATGCTAGCGAGATTGGATTCGGAACTGACGGACCCAACAAATCCAATAGGACATTGGGCTCGACATGGCCTAGGCAAATTGCCATTTTGTCTGTCTCAAATGTTCAAGCTTGGATCAAAACATGAACGTTTTTATCTCCCTTGGAAAACAGAGACATGACCCAAGCCAACGAGCTAGGCCTTTGTTCAAGTCCGGTTGGGCCGAACCTTCAGGTAAAATTTACAAAATAAACACGTTTAAGCTCTCTCCCTAACTATACTTATCTTTTTTTTATCATAACAAATATATCATTCATCGTGCCCCATCAGCAATTACAATGAGGCCGCCGAGTCACATCTTTTTATATAAGTGGTTTAAGCTTATAAAAAAAAAGAAAGAGAAAGAAAAAAAATTTTGAAAAAATGAATATAATTAAAAAGCTGTCCACGTCGCCAAACATACGCGTCTACGACGACGTTCATGTCGGTAATTTTCGGTACAAATACAAAAGTTTTATCACTCAATTGGCCAAAAAAAATATTTAGAATTGAATTGACGTAATTACAATATGTTTAAAATTTTTTTAGTAATTTTTCCTTCATCAATGACATCAGTATTTTCTAATGAAAGACATAATAGAAGCTACGAAGTTTTTTTAATCTAATCATATTCTATTCTATTCAATACTTTATCCTGGTGACTAGCGCAGCGCAGTCCAAGAATTAAGATGGCGCATGCACAATGATGTTTTTTTTTTTTTCAAAACATGCAAGCGCAATGATGTCAACGCCTTATTTTTGCACACTATCCACATCACCATTTGGATCGGAGAAGCCGTTCGACACCAATTGCCGCATTGCACGATCTAAATCTATCGAACCAATGCGGAACGCTCCCCTTTGACTTTTGTACCAAAACCATAATAGTAAACCATTCAATGTCAGCCGTTGGGGTAGTTGAGTTGTTCTTGGTCCTATCGATGGCGGTGATTGAACTCCTTTCAATGTCGATTAGGAAAAGAGAGGACGAATTTGTTGGCCAAACCGAGCACGATGAAGTAACTCGTAAAGGGCATGATTTAGAGAGGAAGATGTGATCATTTCAAAGTTATGGTTGCACCTCCTAACCAATTCCCAACACCACCTTACGTGCGTGCTTAACGATGAGAACGCCCTCGGCGTTGACTAAACAAATTTCATGCGAAGGAAAAGAGGTTGTCCCACGCTTTATAATAAAGTCGATACAGAGTTCATTAGGAAAAGCCAAAAGTTGTTTCAAGTCATTACAGCGCTAGGAAATGAATAAACAAATCTTGGGTCGACACGAGACCTAGTGTCAATATAGCGTCCTAATCGTAGAATATTTAACAAACCCATGATGTGGATCGGATGTTTATGTCGAAAGTCTTGTGTTGATGAAAATGTAGTGGTGAAGATGTGTAATGTCTTTTTCACGATTCCTCGAGTTCAAACGGAAGTATGCTCCCGGGCGACATAGCGGCGATGGCCCTTGCCTTTTTGCGAAATCTTGACTATAAGGACCTCTATCGAATCGGGATGCCACAGACACTTGCTATGGCACAAATTATCCCAATCTGCAGTCCATACGAGAGTGTGCAGAGTCGAGCCCTTCTTCCATCGAACTGATAAGTTCGCCCTCCCATGATCCGATCAAAGGCAGATCATTCGTGTCGAGCTAGAAAATTCGCACGGAGCTATACGTCCGTGATCCGACCCGAGCAGTTATGCCGTGTCGGAAGCGAGCCCGAAATTAAGACGCTTTCTTGAGACGTAAAATCTCGGCAACCGAAAATCTCGAAACGGCCCATTAAATTCGGTGGGCCCGGCAGTATGAATGGGGTTTGGTAACATGACAATTACGGAATTTGCGAATTTCATTTTTCTTGAAGGGATTGGGTGCAACGTAACTTTCAAGGATTGGCGTGCGGAGTTTACAGCGCGCCCCTGCAATCGCATGCCCGCCGGCTTCAATTGCTCGCAGCGAGGTGTCGCTTGGATGGTGACACGCGGCCAGTGACTCGCGTCTCCGGCGGGGTCCCCATCGGCCGTCATTAAATTGGGGCATCGCACGCACATGCCCCGTGGCCCTGGCCCGTGAAGAATTTCCTCCTCCTTTATCACATCTAAAGCATGGTTTTACTCCTTTTTTCTTTCCATGGTTTGGAAAATAGATGAACAAGGCAGATAAGAAATTGTGATCATTAGGCGGGTTCTAGGCCGGGTTCGAAAGTCGAGCGTCACTTATAATCCAAGTCCGTTCACGGGTTGAACTGTTTATCGAAGTGCTCAGATCGGGTCGGTCTAGGCTATCTGTTGTTGTATGATCATTGCCCAAGCTCGTGTTGCTCTCTCTAATATAACTCTCATTGATCATATGTTCACGTAGCTTGAGAGACCTGCATTGTTTATTATTTGTGTGATGTATGTGTTAGTATTGTGTTTATCTGACATGTGGTGAGCTCAAACGTAAACAGTCATATACAAATTCTTGCATGAGAGAGCTTGTTATTATTAACAGATGGGATGACCAATTTGATCGCAGGAACACGATATTTAATCATAAGTTCTTTGATAGTCTTGAGATTAAAAAAGAAGAAGAAGAAACTTTTACATAATTCAGAATTCGGTATTGTTGACATATAGTCTTGATTGCAAAACTATTAAACAGTTGAAGCTAAAGAAGGCAAAAAATGGTAGCCAAAAGACAATTTTTGGAGAAAGCCTAGTTTTGGTATAGATTTGATTTGATTTTGAACGGTGAGAATCTATTTTGATAAATAACATAGACGGGTAATTAAACTGAAAAGAGAAGAAAATGCGAGGACTTTTGTGGCTAATTTGGTATTTCGGAGACACATGAACTTGACCCCTTAATGCCTGCTAGGGGATGGCACTCCTCACATTTAATCATGACAGCCGAGTAATACTTAAAAACGATCTCATTTCAATTTCGACATGCGAAGATTCATATTCAATTTTAGCAAAGATAAACATAACGATTCACTGATTTTCAATTGGGAAAAAGGAGGCATTAACCCATTTCGTCGCCTCTAATGACAATAAACCCAACGATGGATTAAAGTTCGTGCGGATCTGATCATGTAGATGTCAATATGCGTTTTACAACCGACCAAAAAGAAAAGAACATGCTTTCAGTAATTTTTTGTTGACCTCGACGTGGCCATGGATTGAAAGAAACAATAATGAAAAAAAGGATAAATCGAAATCGAATTTCACCTCCCTCAATCTGTGTAACCCTTTCCCGTGGGTCAGCAAAAATGGGAAATGGATTCACCTGGCTAATAGACAAAATAGATTAAAAAAAAACGAAAAGAAAAAAAAGAGAGGAAATTACGATCTTTTATTTATTTTTATAATTACAAATGCCTGAATTTGATAATAAATCGAGAAAATTGATTGTCGTTACACACATTTGCCTCGGAAGCAGAGTAGAGACGCCGTTGCGTTTAAAGACGGGTCTCTTCTCTGGCCCTCGTCGCCTCTTCGATTCCGTCGTCCGTCGTCCGTCGTCGTTGATCTGATGGTGGATCGCACCACCACCTTCTTCTTCCTCACTCCTCACTAATCGTACCTCCGCCGTACCAGATCCCTTCCCCCACCTCCCCTCTCCCCCTCTCTCTCTGAAATCCGCCTTCTCCTCTCTGCTTATCCTTCTCTCTCTCTTCTCTCTGTGAATCCGCCGTCTGCGGAGGCGCGGTGCGGGGAGGCGTTCGTGCCATGGCGGTTGCAGCGGCGGCTGTCGTCGTCCCCCTGGGCATCCTCTTCTTCATCTCCGGCCTCGTCGTCAACCTCGTCCAGGTGAGCCTCCGCCTCTCCCGCCTCGGTGTTGTCGCCGCCAGATTCCGAGCTGCTCGATTGATTGCCTCGCCTCGCCGCCACTCCGGAGCTCGTCTCGCGAGGCCTCTTGGAGTGTGTTCGAATCCGTCGGTGCTTCGGTCCGAGGCGCGCGCGCTCTCTCTTGTTCGTTCGCGCTGCGATTGCGCAGTGGGGAGTTGTTTGTCCCGACGTGTCGAAGCAGATCGATTTAGTGTCTTCGCGACCTCTTTTCGCTCCTTTCGCTCTGCTCTTTCGTCCGTCGCGCTCGCTGCGTTTGTGTTGTTTCAGTGTTGCCGCTTTCTTTATTTGATCGCCAGCCTGCGTGATTGCCGTGAAATAGCTGGCCGAACGATTGGCTATTGTGCATTTTGTCGTTCCGCTTGTTTGGCGGGGAAAACATTCGACCCGTTTTTCCCCCTCTTTCCTTTCCCTCTGAAGTTATTCGCAGTGTATGTAACTCACTGTCTTGTTCCTGTTTCAGGCAGTGTGCTTTGTCCTCGTTAGGCCGCTGTCCAAGAGCACGTATAGAAGAATAAACAGAGTGGTGGCCGAGCTGTTGTGGCTCGAGCTCATATGGCTAGTGGACTGGTGGGCAGGAGTTAAGGTATTGGCACTTTCGACAAAATCTCTGTTAACTCGTTTGGTGAATCTGTCCCTATTGACCAGTAAGGATGATGGCGTCGGAGATACATAAAAAATGCTAAGACCGGTAATGCGAATAAGTAGAAAGCAGCTGTGAGAGTTTCTTGTTCTCCCCACTTTGAGGTCAATTTGGGAGATCATTGAATCTCCTCATCAGTCAAGAGTGAACACATGAGAGGTTGCGGAAAAGTTTCTTGCATTTCTTTTCGAAATTTTTCCACGGTATCATACTATTGTTAACAAAGTTGCTAGATTTGGATCATCTGTAATGAGTTCAATGACTGAGGAGGATTGTGGTAGTCACCTTTCCGCCTGCTATGTGACTACAGAAGGCATATATTTAGGATAGATTATCCCATAAAATGGGTTTATTTTACGAACATGACCCTAAATACTCCAGATATGCTTCTCCTTTTCCTCCTGGAATCAATTGTTCATTTCTACTGTTGCATCTGGTCATTCGTACCTGGTGTCTGTTTTAAGTAATATTTGCTTCTCGGAGTTTGTGCCTTTGTGCGGATTGGCTGGTCTTGGTTGGCAGTTTATCGAGAAATTTTTTTTAACTCCTCTCACTCTTCACCTACTAAGAAATTATTCAAGAGTCAGCTCTCTCCTGTCATCCTCATCTTTAGGTGCAGCCATGGTTTTCTGTGTGCTGTGTTTGTGAAATCCAAATGCTCCAGCATATTTTTTCAGTGAGTTGTTCTTTTGGCTTTGATAAGTAATGTTTCTTCGGGAGGTGCCAAGCATGGTATAGCAGATATTCTATATCTTTAGCTGAAACTTATTGCCTTCTTATGTGTACTCTGAATGCTGTCTCGACAAGTGTTTTTGGACAAATTGTGTGGCAATTCAATAGCAGTCCTCTTTTTATCTCGTTATTCTTTTGTCATTTTTCTCTTTCTCCGAGATGCTTCTGCATGTTCATCCCTGCCTATTTGAGGACTTCGACATAGGTTGTATGGTTAAAATGACGACTTTGACATAGATTGTATGGTTAAAATGATTATACTATTTTGTGGGAGCATGCATTACTCTGTTTGTTTCATATGTACCATAATACTGATTACGTGAATCTTTTTCTTATGTAGATCCAGGTATTCACTGATCGGGAAACCTTTCACTTAATGGGTATGATTTAGATCAATGGATTGCAAATCCTATGTTTATTTTTATCTGGAAGAGGCTGGATAGTTTCCTTGCTTCGAAAGCTTTAAATAGCTAATTTTATTTCTTTGGATATTACAGGCAAAGAACACGCGCTTGTCATATCAAATCACAAAAGCGATATTGATTGGCTGGTTGGATGGGTCTTGGCTCAGGTGAGTATCGGTCATGAAAATTATTGGAGATATATCTACTCTTTGTTGACATAGGAATTCATGCATCTGCACAGTGCATACTTGTCAGATCATCGAAATTGGGTACATATCATTGGCCTGTAGTGAATTAGGTCTCTGACATACACATCTTCTTTTCATTATTTTCCCTTTTTCTGGTTTATTACTTCTGTGACTTTTTTATTTTTATTACCATTTAAGTCAGCTTACATAATGATCTGCCTTTTTTCCATATTGATTTATAAAAACTTATCTGTATACAGCGATCAGGTTGCCTTGGCAGCACATTAGCTGTGATGAAGAAATCATCAAAGTTTCTTCCGGTATGTTTCCAGTATTACTTGCTTCAGAGCCAGCATATTTTGCTTACTGCAGAAGGTTAACAATTTAATCGTCGCTTCTAGTGGCAGACCAAACATGTTCATGGCTGGAACTTGCACACATGCATATAGTTTAGTTCATGAAATCTGGTGTTTTATTGGAGCAAACTGGCTTGTAATCTTAAGGAAAGAGATGAATTGACTTTACTTTTCTGAGAAATGGGACGTGTCTTGCAAACTGATTGTTTCTGTTGTCGTTACAATTTTATGCATGCGATTTTTTCTTTGACCACTTTTATGCATGCAGTTATTGTCATCAGACCACTCCTTCATCATTTGATTTTAGGTATTTCATGTCATTGGACAATTTGATCTATGGCAGTGAAAGATGGAATGGACTGAATAAGGATGAGATTTACCAGCTTGTCGTTTATCTTTCAGAGATCCACATCACCTGACTGTAACATAGACACACATTTTATGTCAGTTGCTCGATTCCTCCTTATTCTCCCTCTTGCCCAGATGAGGATGAATCAAATAAAGTAGGGAAGCAAGTCTTCTTATTTCTCCTTTATAAGGAGTTAGTAAGTCCTTATGAACCACAGTCTATAGGTTTATGTAAAGGCAGTCCAGTCCCATTAGCATAACTAATTGAATAGCATGACTCTGTGTCAGGAAAAGTAAGCCCTTCTTGTCTTGAATTGAATTTGGCTTCGCTGCATCGGGCTCTTCTCATAGGAGTAGGGGTGTGACTTTGACTTTCTTGTTGGAAAGACTTACTTTCTTTTGAAAGAGCAATGGGCATAGATAAACTTTCTCAAAAGCGGGAATGGGATTATCAATGCTTGCAGGTACTAGGTTGGTCAATGTGGTTTTCCGAGTATCTTTTCCTTGAAAGGAGCTGGGCAAAGGATGAAAGCACCTTAAAGGTACTTAAAGGAACCTTATGTTATTTGCACTCTATAATTTGTTACCTATCTGGTTAAATAAAAATGCTTTGCTGATGACCATCTATGCATTTATACTTGTGGAGTGCTTTAATCGATTGTTGGTTCTTGTGGTTTTTTGCTGCAGTCAGGTCTGCTAAGGCTAAAGGACTACCCTCTGCCCTTTTGGTTGGCACTTTTTGTTGAAGGAACTCGCTTTACTCAGGCAAAGCTTTTGGCAGCTCAGGAGTATGCAAATTCAACAGGACTTCCTGTACCACGAAACACTTTGATTCCCCGTACCAAGGTCACTTTCAGCCCCTCCTCTCTCCTTTGAGAGAGAAAATCGAAGAAATTGTTTGCCTCTCTCATATCCTTCAATCTTTTCCTGCTTTTGGATGGGACTGGCTGGGGTTGCCTTTTCTTTTATTTGCTACTTACATAGAATCTTCCATGGAGTAAAAGCAGAAGTCTCTTCAATAGGCTGTGGCAGGAAGGTCAGTTTCTGCCTAGTGCCTAGAGTGACCTGCGATGCAATAATTATCACTTGAAGCATAGAAATGTAAATAAAACTCATGCTGTTTTATTCTGTATGTTAATGACTAGTTACAGTCGGTGATCACAAATGCACCAAACATTCGTTTTGAGAACCAGAAAGCCGATGACATCGGGAACCATCACAATAAGACAATGACCTTAAAGAAGCATTAGATTATATATCCAACCTTCCATTACTATTTATGCATTAGCCTGAAAGATCCATCTTCTTCTCTGTTGTTGGAGCAAGCCCTATTTCTTAGATCTATATCGTGTAGCACATGGCCAAGGAAAAAAAAATTGTGGAAATGCCCCATTCATAGTATGGGTAGCCTACATTGTACACTTTTTGGGGTATTGATGGGATTTGTGATAGCAAGATTGTCTTCATGTATATTTAAGATTGGTGGGTAGTGTTTCCTTGGCTGAAAAACTTTTGTTCTTTAGTTTTTGTATCTTTGGAAGGCTGAAGAAAGCCAATCGGGTGTCTCACTTATTTCACCTCTTCAAACTATGCTAGGTAAAGGGAGGAAATACCTCCAAAGATAGTGTTTGTACTTTCTAAACTACCATCGATCTTCCTGACAATATGGCCCATTGTTTTTAAAGATGTTCGGCATGTGCTAGTGACTTCTAAGAATTCTCAATTGCAATTCTGTTCTGCTAAAGGTTGTTGATTATTGTCTCATGCGTTTTAAATATGGTTGCAAGAAATCTTGTTGCTGAATTTGTGTGTGCAGAGTAGGAGATTTGTAGCATTTGATATAAACTACCACAAGCAAAATTACATGATAGGTGTAGAAATATCCAAAAAAGGAGAGAGAGAGGGAGGGAGGGAGGGAGGGAGGGAGGGAGGGAGGGAGGGAGGGAGGGAGAGAGAGAGAGAGGATTCTGCGGAGGCTTTATTTGAGTTCTCTACTTGAGTTAAGATTGAAATCTCAATGCTAACTACCGGATAATAAGTGGGTTTGATCTACCAAGTTCTCTTTTATCTGTTGAATCATCGAGTTACATTGTAACCAAGAAATAAGTTCAACAAGCAAATGTGCCTCATCGAAGTTTGTCAATTTGTGGTTGGTAAACTCCTGCTGGTCTTTTTTTCTGAGTTTCATTAGTATCACTGCTTTATTAGAGTGGTAGGATCTTTTGATCACAGTGATATAACCAGTTATTCTCGAATGGAATATCTTCTTAACTATTTCTTTCTTTCAGGGTTTTGTTTCTGCAGTGAGTCACATGCGTTCATTTGTTCCAGCCATTTATGATGTCACAGTGGCCATTCCTAAAACTTCGCCTGCACCTACAATTCTAAGACTTTTCAAGGGGCAGTCATCGGTGGTAAGTCAAGTCTATCATTTGAAGCTGAGTTTCAGTACTCACTGCTTAAATGAAGGATGCTGAATTGGCATTCCTTCAAAAGCTCTAAAAGTTATTATGGTTATATATTTGTGGTGTTCATTTGCCAATAGTGCATATGATTTAGACTTGAGTTTTATAATTTCTGACAATTATGCACTGCATGTTTGCTTGGTCTATCAATGTCATCTTGTCTAAGACCAGCCCATAGATGTCTGCATCAAGTGTCATATCTAGTACCATCTTAATACTTGGATCAGGTTTGGAATCGGAATCGGACTCGGAATTGGTGGATGTGGTTAAGAAGTATGTAATGGTGATGCTAATGGCTTTTTGGAAGTGGCGGTAATCACTTATTTCTATTTTGGTTTCACATATATCAGCCTTGTACGGATCAACCGTTTCTTGCTGCTGTCAGCTTATGGCAGTCCAGCTCTAGAGTTGGTAAACAATGAATGTTAGTTGTCATTTGCACATGGTACATCTACATCTTTTAGTGAACCGAATCTTGTTGAAGGTACCTGAGCGCAAGTAGCCGATCTTTTGTGAAATTTGCTGATTATGCTCTGGCTGTGAAAACTTCCTTTACGGTGTAAATTTTTCGACCACTGCAGTTAGTCGGATATTTGTCTATGGGATAAGACTTTCAGTGATGAATACATATTTCTTAATACAAACAACCATTACCTTCCTGCAGATCCATGTGCATCTCAAGAGGCATTTGATGAAGGAATTGCCTGAAACAGATGATGCAGTTGCACACTGGTGCAGAGATAGATTTGTGGCTAAGGTGACAGTAACTTTGTATATCAGTCGAATAGTGTTCACCTGATATGTAATCTGACTTTGTAGACTTGGACAAAAAAGGCAACTGTGCTTCATCAGTTTGCTTGTCTTAATTACCTTTTGCCTTTTCGAGTGTAGGACGCATTATTGGACAAACATAAAGCCGCAGACATATTTAGTGACCGTGAATTGCAGGATACAGGCCGGCCAATAAAGTCACTTGTGGTCAGTTTTTTTGTTTAACAGCGTGCATCATTCTTTTTCATGACCAAACTATAAACTCGATGTTCCATTCTTTTTTGAATAAGCCCTCAATTTCTGTTTCTGGCATAGGTGGTCATCTCTTGGACGTGTTTGGTTGCTTTTGGGGCTTGGCAGTTACTTCGCCGGACCTCATTCTTATCATCATGGAAGGGAATCGCATTTTCCTCAATCAGTCTGGCAATTGTTACCGTTCTCATGCACATATTAATCAAATTCTCGCAGTCGGAGCGGTCCACACCTGCAAAGGTTGCACCTTCGAAGCCAAAGACCGAAGGAGAGGCCTCAAACAGAGTAGAAAAGAAAGAGAAATGATGGACAGATACTCCCGTACTTTCATTAGGTCGGAGGCTTTGTCGACACCTTTGTTTATTGCTGATACGTGTAATTTTGTTTCTTTGGGGTTAGTTGTGTTATTCAACTTTTACCCCATCTCTATAGTCCTTCCATTTTGTAAAACGCTTGCCTGTATGGATGCCGATTTATTGTTTACTCTGCCTAGTGCTTACTCTGACCAAAAAGGGAAACCTGCTCACTGCCATTTAGTTTAGTCTATAGTTTCTGCAAATTATGTAGGCATGACATGAGCGATTATCAGCGAACAACTATATTGAGTATATTTACAAGCAATTCAGGGAACCTACTAGCCGCAATCAAGTAGAAAGACCGGAAAACTTGGACACGTGAGATCCACGATTCATGAGCTGCCCGTGCTAAAAAGCTTTGAGCTTTCATCTTTTGCCCTGTTCCCGAGGAAATTCATCATTTCGATATTCAAAAGACAAGACAACTTGGACAGTCCAACGCTGGCAACTTATGTGCACTCCAATCTGCGAAGAATGTGATTGTTCCGACATTAACCAACCAACTTTTTTACCCAAAGGAAAACAGTCGGCCCCCTGTTAGTGGATTTGCGAACTAATGCAGCTTTAAGCCCTAGGGTCTTTTCCCATATCAACATGGAGACGCTTCTGCACCGTCATGGAGGGCACAGCAAGTAGTTGCTTTATGATGTCCTTGATAAACCCTGATATCTTGACCAGTAGACATGGACCAGAGTCTTGCTGTTGAATCTGAGGAAGCTACACGCAGAAAAGAAAAAGCTCAGATAAACTCAAGAAGAAAAAAAAGAGAACAAATTACAGGACCACCTCTCCAGGCGGTGATACTGCATTATCCTCTATATTTAAAGACTGGTCACTGGGAACCGGATCTTAAATAGGATGAGATGAAGAAAGGATTCTTAGCAAAGGGATTTAAAGATTTTTGAGATATGATTCAAGTATTATCACTTGCCAGAATAAGTCTCTTTAATGACATAGATGCTCATGCTGATCTAACATTCACAAACCAATGATACTGCAATATGGTAAGCACGTCAAGATACCCATGAGAAGATGATACTAATTGCGATTGTCGATTTTACATATGCATTGTTCATTATTTCCTTTTTCTAGATGGAGTTTTACTTCTTTGCACAATTTGGCTCCCTCCCCTTCACCTCTCCCTATGTCCATCCCAGGCTGTGTGTAGAAAAATAGATGACTGAAAAGGTGGCAACATCTCAGCTAAAATAACTAATAAAACTGGATAACGCACCATCCCATTATCACTTGAAGCCCTTCTTCTGACACATGAACCCAGAATTTGGAGAACGATAGATACAGGATAATGCAAGACTAGTCCCATGTCACTAATCAAATTCTAATGTTTAAGCACAGCACTAGTCAACCAACTGTACAGTGATCAACAATTAACCTCTTCCCAGGCATTCAGGACTCAGAAGCAAGATTTACTTGCCCTCCAGAAATATCTGTCAGAACAGCTCAAGACAGGAGCCACATACCCGTTATAAGATAAGCACCATCTACTGAAAAAACGCAGTCCCACACCCAGCGTTGATGTCCTGAAAAACAAATGAAACAAGGAATCAGCTAGGCAATTGGTTCATCGCATTAGTTCTGTCCGACTGTGATTTTAAATGCAAACGGAACACAACAGAGGCAGAGTGAGTTCCAAAGGTACCTATCAAAGTCTTTTCTAGAGTGAAACCTTCAACATTCCAAATCTTGACGGTATGGTCAGAAGAAGCGGTAGCCAAATATCTGAAACATAATCAAGTCCCATCATGCTACTAATATTGATATATAGGCTAGAATTGGAAAAAGGGCTCCCAGATAGGGCAAGAAGCTAGCCTGTGGGGATCACAGAACTCTGGCGAAAGAAGACATTTAAGGATATATCCATCATGTGCTTGTAGCTTATGAAGTGGCTCAAAGTTGGTCATTGTCTGCAGAGATAAAAAAGACAAGCTACATGTGAGGAATGAGTAAACAGGAAAAGCCAGAAACCATGGTGTTTCGTGGCATAGTTTAATCACCTGAGTCCCACGCAACAAGCGCCAAACATAACATGTTCCATTATTATTTGCAGCAACCACCAAACTCCCATCCCACATAACTGTTAAGGATCTGACCGCCGTATCCACCTCTGGTACCTAATTCACTCTGGAGTGGTTAACAAGTATTCTGCAGCTACTCGAAAAGTACCTCAATCTTAGCAGTGTTTCAATGGAAAATATTTCTCTTTTACAAACATCACATTGATACATTATACATACCAACTCACAGCTGCATGAATTCGCTGTCAAATCCCACACACGGATATTTCCATTTTGGTCTCCTGATATTAGTTCAGTCTGGATAATCAAACCGTGATCACTAGTCAATTCACAATATATAACCAAAGCTAGAATTTGCAGACACGGAAATTTAAATCCATCCCACAATTCTCTTATGTACTCAAAAAGACTGATGATCACCTAGTTTAATTACTCATAGAAAAATGAAGTATATAACTAGAAGGTGATGATGAACATTAGTAGGATAAGAGCACTAAAAGTCCTAAACTTGTACGGGAAGTACAATTGAGTTAAAATTTTCAAAAAATGCAATCAAGTCTAAAACTTACCAAATTGGTGCAATCAAGTCTCTTCTTTAACTTCATATAGTTTACTTAATAGAAAATGCTAATCTATTATATTCTCTCCTACGTGGCCATCAATGTTAACCAACGTGTGCAACGACCAAAACATGCTGCTTTCTGCAATCTTTAATTTTTTTTTCCAATTCTTACCAAACTAGATTAAAAAGTAAAAGCAAAAGCTAAAAAGGTAAAATCGCCCCTAGACCAACCCAAGACTACTCTCTTCCTTTTTCTTTTAAAGATATTTTCCTTTTAATTTTTTATTCTTTTTCTTTTTTATAATTTTTAGCTTTTTCCCAATGCACATCTCTTCAGAAAACATTAAAAAATGCCGCATTAGCATTTTCTGTAAGTCAAATTGGACAGAATCGACGGAGAGACCTGATTGCACCGATTTGACAAGATTTAAGATTTGATTGCACTTGAAAGTTTTAGGATTTGATTACACTTTCACACCTAATTTTAGAACTTCAGGTGTGCCTATCCCTATTCTTAAGCCAAATAAGAAACCCTATATATACCACACTCGTCACTAGTTTTGCACGAGAGATTTCCCTGAATTAAAGCAAGATAAAGTTGCGATTTTAGTCCAATTGTTTACCTTTGTTAAAATAACCAACCAAAGCGCTTAAGCTATTAGTGAAGGAAGATTGCTACCAATTTAGGTGAGGGATGTAGGAAACTGAACTTTAGCAAACTTGACCAAAATGTAAGGAAGAACTGCAGGAGAGTTCAACCAGTCTTAAAGTATAAGATACTGTATACTAAGGATTAGTGGCATGAAAAGAATTCTGGAAAAAATTACTTTGACATTGATCCAACTCAAAAGTGAATCTATATATGCCATTTCTTTTTTGTGTTTTGAGAAAGAAAAGGTCTGATAGTCCCACTAAGGGAAGGAAACCGTACAGCATTTCTCTCATAGATGTCCAGAAACCCGGTGCAATAAACATCTGACCTGATTTGGGTGCAGAACAACTGTATTTACAGCTCCACGGCTTTCATATTCTCTTTGGCAACCCCGAGCCCTGCATTTGCATCAAGAAAGGACAAGAAACAAGGTTCTCACTATAATGTATATCATATCACACCAAATAAACTTGAGTACTATCGACATTTTCAGCACATTTTTTCTACCTCAGGTCCCATATTCTAACAGTTCCATCTTCGGAGCCTGAGTACATCCAATTCCCATCACACTGAAACCCCACGGCCATGACATTATTGGTATGGGAGTCGAAACTCATCACCTGCCACGGATTTCATGAAGTTCTTGTCAATTGAATAGAATATTCTAAATCAGTACGAGTTGAAATCACATAACATGTATTAAGAAGTGTTAAGAGATATACTGGTTGAGGGGTGTTTGAGTTGACATCAAACAATCTAATGCTGGGATTTCCAGCCGCAGCCAGGAACCGCTTATGTGGAGTTATCTCCAACCGGTTGACTTGCTGCACACAGTGCAAAACATCAATTCACTCAGAGCTTTATTTCCCATCCGAAGGATTTATACACACAGCAAGAAAAAGAATTCATCTCGGTATCGACACACAGCTTTCACTTGCTTCGCGGAACAAAATTCAGCATCATGAAGCGACAAACTCGATGAACTTAGCAGGGAAATAAAATTGCATTTTGCGCCCGCGAAACGGAAACATGAAGTTGACATTGCGGGCACATACACAGACTCATAAAATCACACCCGACTAAAACTTCTATTCATCAAACAGGTTAACTGCATAAAAACTCCTCAACCAAGTTCTCACACTCGTACAAAGATATCTTCTTTAAGCCGCAAACTTACAGAGACACGTGTCCCTGAACTCAAACGAAGAACTTGGCAAAAACCCAGCTAAGTAGTATGCCTAAAAATCGCCGAGATGAATAAATCGATGGTAAATATCAAGAATTAGAAGACAGACCGAATCTGGGTATTGAATCGTTCTGTAGCATCGTCCGCTCTTGGCCTCCCAGAATCGAATGGTGTGATCGTAGCTGGCGGTCGCGAGGATCACCGACGGCTGTTGGCTCATATTCTTCGACCCTCTTTTTGCGCAACCGAATCAGATGAAATCGAACATGGCTAATTCAACAGCTGAAATCGCCGTTTCGATCGCCAGAACGGCCGACCGTGATCAACGACAGCCGACTTCCTTCGATCACGTCGAGGAGAGAATCAAAAGTAAGGGCTTTTGAGTGGTTTTAAGCCTATTTAGGTAGAGAAACGAAGAGTACTTTGTCTCTGCAGATTCGTATTTTTTTATTTTATTAATATGTAGTTTGTTTTGAGTTTTTTTTTTTTAGGGATAAGTGCACCGTTGCAATTGAATCCTAAAACTCTTAAAAAATATAATCAAGTCTTAAAACTTATCACGAAAGTGCAATCAAGTTTTAAAACTTTCAAAAAGTGCAATCAAGTCCTAAAATTTATTGCAATCGAGTCATGAAGTTTTTAAAAAGTGTAATCAACGGAAGGACTTGATTAAATCAATTTGATAAGTTTTACGACTTAATTGCACTTTATAAAAGTTTTAGAAATCAATTGCACTTTAGTGACAAATTTTAGGATTTAATTGTAATTTTTTAAAGTTGTAGAACTAAATTACACATTGGTAATAAGTTTTAAAACTTCCAATACACTTATTTCGTGACAAGTTTTAGAACTTCTAATACATTCATCTCTTTAGTTTTTAAGCAAAGAGCAACCCTATTCTTTTTACTTTCCATTCCAAAAATTTAAAGGATAAATAGAAATTTTCATATTTAACAATATAAGTGATCATAGATGATTATACATATCAATTAGTATATCGTGGCATAAAAGATTCCAAGTGCCCAACGTAAAATAAGAGTTAGATTCTGAGAATCGCAATATTCGGAAAAAAAAATTAAAAAATTACTTCAAACAATACTAATTACTCCAAAATCTAATGATCGAAGGTAATATTTTGACATGCAAAAGAAAGCTAGAACACAAAAATGAACATTTATATGTGAAGAAGATTTTATACTTTTAAAGGAGAATTTAAATTTTTTTAATAGTTTCTGCAAAAATATATATACACTGGCTTGGTTCCACCAGTTCTGCTTGGTTGGTACTGTTCCTCGAAGGCACACCGATTATTTCCAGTTCCAAATTTACTCTAGAATTCCATCCTTTGTATGTACTATAGCCTTCTTGTATTATTTAGCATTGGTAATTCTCAACTTCGCTTAGAGTCATTTCGAGTTATATTATTTTATTAGGTCGTTATATAAATTTCTGAAATTTCAAAACATGCAAACTCAAATTATAAAAGGGAAAAACTAATAATCAAGAAGAACTAAAGAGTAAAGACACAGCGAAGCAGACGTGCCTCTCTGGGCTTCCGAGTCTGAGGCGACGATCTCTCCGGGGACGCCGAGAAACGCCGCGCATTGCTCGTCATCCGCCACCGCCCGCCCTCCGGACTCGTCGGCGATCATCAAACTCCGTCGCATCATTCGCTTCGAGGCGTCGCGGCGCAGGGAGCTGGCGGTTCCCGTCGTTCGGGTCTCATTCTTTCCTCGTTTCTTACTTACTTTTGCTTCTGTAGGGGGTTGCGATTGGTTGACGTTTCCGGCGAGATGTTTCGCTCGCCGTTCTCTGCTGCTTACTCTAGCCACCTTGGGAATGTGATTTAGGGAGCGGTCTTTCTGGGTTGAGCTTAGCGAAGCGCTGTTTGTTGCTCTTTTGGAGTTTGGGGTATCTGATGGAGTAGCGTCGTGTGAAATTTAGTTGTAGAAGTCGAGGGACTGGACAAGCGGGGGTTGCAGAAACTTGGCATTAAGGGGTTCTGAGGTAAACTCGATATCAGGATTGTGGTTGAATTTTCACAGGCTCTTAATATGTATGACCGCTGAAAATGCGCCGACCGCCAACCGGCTAGGGGTGAGTTAGGGGCCCTCCAGCCCCCCCTACAGGTCCATCACCGGACCATAGTAGAAAATTTTCTCCCGGACAGAGGGTACGATGTAGATTTATAGAAAATATTACCCATGGTTAGATATCATGCGACCCTTCCTTCGCTTGATCTTTGAATTTTGCTTCCGTTTCATGGGGTGTGGTAGATGAGACATTCTTTACGCTCATTGGAACTGGAGACTTTGTTGCTTGAAAAATAGTAGTTTTGACGATACGGGCAATAGTCCAGTCATTTGATGTATTGCTGGGAATGGTTCGTATCTGAAAGTTGAATGGCATTGGGAATAAATGGTCATTTTGGTATCAGGCAATTCCAGGAGGTGGAGGTAGCCATCTCGAACTGCCAATTCCTTAGGCGGCAAAAATCCCTTAGGCATTGAGTCATCAGTCATGACTTTCTGAGGATCATTAGGCGGTGAAAATCCCTTAGGCATTGACTCATCAGTCCTGACTTTCCGAGGATCATTGATCTTGGTGTAAAACTAAAGTAGGTTAGGCCTGAGAATTCTTACTCGTGCGTTAGATAAGAAGCCTCAAGTTTGACCAAGGAGTCACCTACTAACTATGTAGGAAGCAGGAATTCGATCAAATCAATATACAAAACGAACATTCTTGTTCTTCCTTACTTCTGGTTAAGATGGCCATGTGTAAGGATGTGTCCCTTGGATTCTGTTGGAAATGAGGATGCTCATCTACTTTTCAGGTTTTTTTTCTTGTTGCGTGTTGCTGACTGGTTGCACTTTTGCCTGGTGATGTTGCTTCCAGGTTGCCATTTTGAAGGAGGATCTTTTCTGAATTTTACTTTGGATTGTTTCAGTCTCTTCCTTTGTCCTTGATCCTTTTGTCGCTATATTCCACACTATGTTAAACCTTTGGTCAGGAAGCTAGAATTGGCAATGTAGGAGTTGTTCATGGACCTTATGATGCAACTTTCTGTTTCACGACTTGCGTTGAGCTGAAGGTTGATCAATCTAACGTTTGAGAGGGAGGTTAGAAAATCTTAGCCTGTCACTATCATCTTGGATTAGATAAGTAGAACATGGCATGGAAGTAAGTGCAAGAAAGAGCATCCAGCAGAAAAACACACATCAAGAAACAGAGAGCAATAGGGCAATCAGTTCTTGAACCAGGGATGGAATTTATTTTTGAAACCGGTTTATATTGGTCAGTTATTTGACATGTATGTTCTGCGAGTACCGTGACTAATTTCCACAGAGAGAAAGTGTGCAGCACAAGGTGTAACAATTGTCAATCAAAAAAATTCTTATTCGTTCTATGAGCTTTAAATTTTTTTTGCAGCACAACATTAATTTAGCTTCCATCATTATAACATTGATACTATTGCTGATGGTGACGTCTGTGACTTCAAATGCAATGCATGCTCATGGGCATCGCATTCTTAATACATGCGACAAGGACATTGATGTATCGTGGGGGATGTCGGCAGAGGTTGTCACATCTCCATCTTACATTACATCGTTGGAAATTTGTTCATAACGTGGTAACCACCACTACATAGTTCTTAGTTGGATTGGGGACTGTTGAAAGTTTTTCATGGCTACTCTGTTGTGAGGCAGGAAATTGTTTTATCCCCGTGGTGGTTTCCACCAATGGAGCATCGCTTGTGAGATTGGCAATGCCTCTCTGGATGGTAGAGCTGCTTCAAGCTGGACAAGATGCTTTTCTGGAGATACTATTGCCTCAGGGAATAGGACTGGGAATTTTTTAAAGAAGGGTACCTCGGAGACTATTGGATTGTCTCAGGGGCACTTATTACTTAGCGTGCTTAACATTGGATTCTCCGGAGCTACGATTTGTTCTCACATTTCTTGCTCTTACTGTGTTATCAGTCATAGTTCAAACCAGGTTCTGACTAGCTGTTTAGTTCAAAATCTATGCCTGTTAGCTATCATGTGGCAGTACACCTGTTTTTTTTATCATGAAAGTGATAGCTGCCTTTTACATGGCTTGGCTCAATGACTGGAAAACCTGTAAGTGGTCATTCTTTGGAGGTTTAACGCCTCCTACCTAACGGCATAGATCTCTCAAGGCCTCTATTCGAATGATTAACCCAATCTTGAAGGCTATATATGAGTTAACGAGAGAAAGAGCACTGAAATGATGAAAATATTCTGATAACTGTATGAATGTAGGACTTTCCATTGTTGAATGAAGAAGAAATTCCAATTCCCCATGTCTTCTCCCCCTCTTGATTGCTATATATTCGTGGGTGAAAACAGTGATCCAACGCAACTGTGCACTGAAACGATGCTAGTTGTGGAACTTTCATTTACCTTAATTGTATATTTTCATGTCGAAGTTGATGCGAGACATATGCTGGACCCTTCTCACAAAATTCGCGAAGCTGCCAGGGCGGTGGCCCCGCACTAACATGTGATTAATCCGCAGATGGAGGAATATGTAGCCTAGATTTTGAGTATGATATCAGCAGTCGCGTTCTTGCCTCACAGCTCTCTTGTGACGATGATTATTCATCCGGGTCATTAACATGCTTTAAATGCAAAGGTAATTTTGAGTCCATGATGTAATATGGGTAACTTGTGCTTTCAGCATCAGTGATGCGAGAGCTTTCATGCTCTTTATTCTGCTTAAAGCCTTTGTCTACTGTCGTAGGATTTTGTCCCATCTCATCTGCTCCTGTCGGTGATTCAATATGGATAATTTGAAGGGACTTAATAACGAACTAGTGCGTTTTAAGCCGCAAATTTTGTTTGGAGCCCCCATCTATCTTGAATGCATCATATTGAAGGGGTCCTGGTCTCTGAGGAATGGAACGGTTCAGTATCAGAAGCAGATGGTCTTTTATGGCAGAGTACAGCGCGTGGGCCCGAATTATATAGCTCATGCGGATGGTTATACTGGGCCAAAAGGGAGGCCCTCATCGCTAATCAATTTGGGAACAGAAGAGAGAAAGGGACTTGAAGAAGGTATTGACTCCCTGGTGATGTCATATATTTCCAGGACCAGTGTGACTCAATCATTGTATTCATGCTCTCTTTCTTCAATGTCTGTCCTTGTCTCCCTCCCTGTGTAAGCTGTGGCTACATCCACACTGTGCACGAGAGGTTCATTGTGTCCATTCTGTACTTGGGTGCCTAGAATCCTCTATTTCATTAATTGGCTTTAGGACTTCGGCTTCTTTTGCTCGGGAAATATCTACAAATTGAGGGCCTTGTTTTTTCCTTTTCTTCTTTTATCCACATCTTCCCTTTGATTAAGCACTTTTCCTGAGTAAAGCTTACCGACATACAGGAGAGGCGAGGCCAATCAGGTTACATTCTCTTTGCCTCTCGGCATAAAACTTTATTGATCATGTTGTTAGCTTCAAATGCAGAGTAGACAAATGTACTACGCCTCAGTTTATTTCATGGGAAATATGAAATTTTTGGAAAACATTTTTCGAGAAGTTATTTTTAAAAAAAATGACAATATTTTTCTGTGTTTGGCTGACACCTGAAAATGAACCGGAAAATATTTTTCGCTATTTGATAATTTTCTCAAATAAACATATACTATTCAGGTGCTAGTGACTTGCACAGGGGTAGTCAAGGAACTCGCCACGGACACTGGGGTCTCAGCCTCGGATCCACGACTCCTAGGCACTAGTCTTGGGTCCATCGAAACCGAGCTCAAGAACTTGGTGCCTGTGCTCGGCTCCTTGGCTTGGGTCTAGAGAGGCTAGGCCTAGGTCCCCAATGCCCAGGCCTGGGTCCATCAAGATCAAGCCCTAGACCCTAGCGCCTGGGATCGAGACCTAGCACTAGGGACTCCTGTATAGGTGCCTGCGCTCGGGTCCATCGAGGCCAGGCCCTGAACTCGGCACCCTGGCCTGGGCCTGGGGCAGGCATCGATGGACCTAGGCATGAGTGTAGGGGACTCAGGCACAGGCATGGGCACAAGAGTCCTCGGTCGGGCCTCAATGGACCCGGGCATGGATGTTGGGGTTCGGGGTCTTGATATTACTGGATCCGACCTCGATGACTCGGTTGCGGCCTAGATGAACCCAGGCCGGGGTGTTGGGGTCTCGGGCTTGGCCTCGATGGACCCGGCCTCACTACCAAGGGCTCGCGAGCAAGTATTGGGGTTTCCGTGCCTAAGCATGAAATTTCTGATTTAAGTGCCGACACATAGTCATATTTTGGAAATTGATTTCCGATTAAAAATCAAAAATCATTTTCCTAAATTATATTTCGGTAGGAAAACCTTTTCCGTCAATTAAGAAAATATTTTTTGTTAACTCATTTTTCAAAGCGATCCAAACGCCGGAAAATAAGGAAAATGTTTTCTCGAAACAAAGGGAGCCTAAGCCTTGATATTTTCTCCATGCATTTGGTGTGGATGGCTTAGGATGGGGTTCTTCCGTTAATATGTCCTAATTTGTTTCATCTCGACACCACGTTGGGTATGATCTGAAATATTAAAAAAATTAATGACATGAGTAACTAAGGAGCATCGAACCAGATAGAGGATCTTGATTAGCTCATAGTCCAACCGCATTAATTGCTCCTCTCTCTCTTGCCTCCTCTTAGCCTCGTGCTTTGTACAGGCTTCCTTCTTTTCCTTCTCTCATTTCGTTTTGGGGGGGCAAGCAACATGCCTTCAAATAAATGGAAAAAGAGGACACAATTTCTGAATCTTGAGCCTAGACGACCGTTTAACAGTTTTTGGATTAGGGTTCATGGGGATTTGCAGCGTGAGGGAATAGATGTTTGGGTATGCGCCAACACAAGACACGGACAGGGAGACACAAAAGCGGGGTTTTATCTTGCCAAAACGTCCAACACACTCGTGCCGTCTTGGGAACTCGACATGTTTCATCGAATAAACAAGGTCAGCAAAATGCTCCTTGTGCTAAACGCTCGATTTTGTCCGTATCCGACCCCCTAAGCTTACGCTATTGATTCTTGGAAAAGATATTCACGTTGTACGAGCCTCCTAGACCTTCATTTTAATGTCTCATGTGCCATTTGTTACACGAATCACGGCCCCAAATGCATCCTCCTAGTGCTTCCCCCTTCATGTTACCGATGAACCCAAAAAAATAATCTCACATGTCGGACTTCCTAAGAAATTGCTGCTACATTTCCAAATCCCAAAGATATTCATTTATTAATTGGAAAATATTGCGAGCGGCGTGCGTGCGAGATAGAGAAAGAGAGATTGCGCAAATGGGTCCTGTATATGGCATGTTTATGAACGAATCATTCCATTGTCAAGCAATGAAAAAATCGGCTTTCTATCATATGACATTTCATTCTGAAATGTGACCTTCAAGATGATATATGCCATAAGTGTACCCTTCTTATAGACTTGACGTACACTGAAAAATTCTCCACATATGAACCTGCCATGTTCTGCATCAGGCCATGGGACATCTTAACTGAAGAAGAGAGTGGAAGGATAAGAAGGGGCGCTGTCCACAGTTGGCTTTTTCTATTTGGCCTTTAAGCAAAAGGTAAAGGTTTGTCGTTGATTTGCTGTCGATCTTTTTTAACTTAGACCAATCATCCTCCCAGCAATATGCGGACTCTGCAAAACCTAGAGACATGGGAAAACCCATGAGATCCCATTGCCTTTAGTTCTGCAGATATTGGATCGTGATATGTGATGGAGGTAAAAAGAAAGAAAGAAGGAAAAGAACAAAAAAAGAAGATAGTCCACACATAATCATAACCATCTCCATCAATTTACCATTGAAAACTACGTGAGATTTAACACTTACAACTTTAGAAAAAAGAAACGGGCACGTACTATGTGTTCCCTAGGCCTTGTTGGATTGAGTTCACAAATGGTTTACTTTTGTGGCCGTTGAATCTGCAAAGAGTTGGAGTTGATACATGCCCCGGAGTTCTCTTCTCCCGATGGAGCTACACCTTTTCTTTTTCTAAAAATTTAGGTATTCAGACTCTTTGAACATCGGACTAGTCATTATCGACAATTGAGTTTGGTGGTTCCACAAGTCGAGCAATAATTGAAGACACATAAATTTGTCCTCCTAATACGATATTAGGAAATAAAAAGACTAATACAATGATTATTGGAATTTAGCTTTTAACAAGAAAGACAGAGACAATCGTCACTTAAGTAATTACCTTTTAGAGCCCCACATTTTTTCTATTTACTCTTATCACCAATTTTGTTCACACTCTCATTTTACGCAGTGTCGAAATCCAACTAATCTCATGCTTGGGTTGTCTCTGGTAGAATCGCATTTCCAATGTAGAGAAACTTTGAGCATCATTCTCTTACAGTAAATGATAGAGAGAATCTACCTTCTTTCCATTCATCGTTGTCTTGACTCCACAAGAAATTTTCAGTACTTCACCTTCAGTGGTATACTATGTCAGCGAGTGTACTCGGAGCAATAAGGCTCTTCTTGAGTTTCGAAACATGTCTTACATCTGCCAATATGTGCTCTACCCCATCGTACACCTGAATCCCAACCGTCCCTATTTTCACAACCTTGTAGGCTGCATTATTTCCCATAAGAACTCTACCACCATTTTTGTCTACTGGTAAGTAGTAAACCAATTTACATCCAACACTCTATCCCAGTTGTCACATACAAGATGGTCTCCACATCATTAGTGCTCTCCTAGGAAACATTCGCCATGGCATCGTGCCTGCTAACTCTCTCAATTTAGGACAAGCTCTTCTTCATGTGCTCTTCCATGTAACACTCCAAGCACTTCACGTGACCCCTTAAACTTTCTGCGGCACGATATTTTATTGCTTCTTGCTCTATTGCCAGACTCTTGATGTTCATCTCCACACCGAATCATCAATGCCCGCACCACATCTTGCAGTAGATTGTCATCTCACAGCTTTCTCTCTCACGCATTGCAGAGCAAGGCGGACTTTAACTCTTTAAATTTCAGTGCAATTGGCGGTTCAGTTTGGTTTGGAGAAAAAAAGGCTGAACTCAACTACCCTTACTTGGTTCTATTTCACTAAAAATTTCAAGAATCCTTTCAACAGTGTAATGAGGCGAGTATGCCCTCCTTGAGAATAACATGGACTCGTTGCAGCAATTTCATGATCACTATCTCGATTACCATGTGATTTGACACAGTCCCTCGTGAAGATTCACTTGCATTTTTTGATACTTTGATAAGAAACAGAAAATTTAACCTAAGCACCTCTACTATGGCTGTCGTTTGCAATTTCGATAGGAGGAGACTCTCTCACTGACATCATCGAAACAGCAATTATACACAGTACAGCAAGCCTCTATTCGAAACAGTAAACATCTTCCATTTTTCAATCATTTGCTGATTTTCATACGATTATCAAGAACCCTCTGAAGATAAAGCGGCTTGCTAACTACCCGTATTCAGTCAATCTTGAGGACCTCCGACAACATTATTTCAATATTTGAGAAAAATTTAGAAGTTGTTTCATGTTCTTCTCCAAATTAGCAGCCGACCTGTTATGTGTACGTGCATAAGTTCGATGTGCATTATTTCTTGTCCTCTTCTTCCGTGCCCTAGGCTTTTGATCAGTTACAAGCATAAATAAAGTATTTTAACCGGGGTTAGGACTTACATTTCTTACACTGGACATATAAAAAAATAAATTAATTCCACAATCGGTATCATTAGACCCTTTATCTATGTATAACCAAGTGTGCTAGATTAAGTTCAACTCTTCAGATGAATAACAAGTTAATCCATGATCATGCACCTGAATTGCATGTGACCATATTCCTGAAACGTAACGTTGAGCTAGAATAAAATTAAAATCACATTTCTCGAGTACATCGTTTTAGTCATTTGACCTGCTCGGGCAATTTTTATTACTAACGGCTCAAGTAATAACTAAACGTTTTTCTTCTTTTGGTACAATAACTAGAACTTTCGTGTATGTGCAAATTCTACATAGTTCGAAGGCGACACTTTTGTGTGTTCAGCATTGAAGTGCTTAAAAGAGTCAGTTTAAAGTATTGATTCGATAAGATGAGGTGGTTCGCAAGTACGATCCTCACTTGCCATCCCATGCAATTTCTGTAAATCAAAAAGTTTCTGAGACCTAAGCGCCTCAAGACGGGAATCGATGGTGCTTGGAGACTAAGGTAGTCCCGTTTGAATGGCCAAAAGAAGGGGTCTTCGCGTTGGGATAGAAAACCCGTGTTAGATCTCCATTAGTTTCCATCTTAACTCCCGATAGACACATTCTACGTAGAATAACACCAATCAAAATGCAGAAATATGAAAATGCATGCCCCTTTTCTGGGGGCAAAAGTCGATTCTTTTGGTTTCTTAACTAGCACATTTTTTTCCCATCAAATTCTTTCAACTTTAGGATGTCTAGTTAAATCTCTGAACTTGCATTAATTTTCTAATCAAATCCTTCAAGTCCCGGAGCCGCCAATTAAGTCCTTGACATGGAAAAACCTTCTGTAACCATAGATTATGCTAATCCGTGATGCTAAGAAAAACCATTCCAAAGATGAACACCGCATGGACATCGATAATGAGATTTCTCAACATGAATATTACAGTAGAAATTTTCATTTTAGACTCTCTCATTATTAGGATTTGGTGTTGGTGGGAATTGAATAGAAAAAAAATATGCAAATTCAAAGGTCAGACTGGACAAACTAATAATCAAGAGCTTGAACGCAGAAAAATGGTCAAATTCAGAGGCCGAAAATACAATTTTATGTTTCTTTATTTTGGAGCCCCGGCATGGGCTCTACTATTTTTTCGCTCCATCCAATAAATATTTCTTCTCGTTTTTATTTTCATGATCGCTATGTAACGGGTTATCCTTTTGCCTATGTCCCTATTTTTTGACCTTCTTTTTGCCTAGGTCCCTATTAAAGTGAGTATTTTCAACAACAATAATTCAAACATTAACTTTCCTGAGGTATGCGTCCAAAAAAGAAGAAGAAAAAAGAGAGAGCAAAAACCACCACAGAGAAAGAAAAGGGAGGGTCTTCTGCGCTGGGTGATTTTATCTTCCTCGCCCTTTTACTCCTGTCAACAACATGCCGAGTGTAAATAGCTCTCTCCACTCTCTCTCTCTATAAAGGCAAATACCACCAAGCCATACTATTCTCCTCTCTCCCTCTCTCTCTCTATCTCTCTCTCATCAAGATTGAGCAGAGACTTCGCCATGACCGACCCTTTCTTCAAATTCAACCCTCTCCATCACCAGCACCACCACCATTACTTCTCTCCACCTTCGAATCCTCAGCCGCCTTATTACTACTCGTCCTCAGCTTATCACAACTTCGCCTTCATCAACCACCACCATGAACAAACCCCACCTTCTCCTCCTCCTCCTCCTCCCATCAGAGAAGCTCTTCCTCTCCTCAGCCTGCTGAGCCCCACAAGACAGCAAGAGCAAGATCAAGAGCAAGAACAAGGGCGAGGGCAAAATCAGGAAGAGAACTTTCTCATGGAAGTGGACAAGCCCAAACGGTCGGCTGAAGTTCAAGATGAGGACGATGATGGTGATCAAGATGATGATGATGATGATGATGAGACTGGAGTGACTGTGGCACTCCACATAGGGTTACCAAGCCCGAGCGCTGCTGAGTTGGCATCGGTGATGATGCTCGCTTCTTCTTCCTCTTCATGTTCTTCGTCAGAGATCGTCACGGCTCATGATCATCACAGCAAGCCAGATCAAGAACATGGTGGTGGGGAGGATTGCGGGTACTTGATGAGCAGGATAAACAAGGGGCAGTACTGGATCCCAACCCCTTCCCAGATCCTCATTGGCCCGACCCAGTTCTCTTGCCCTGTTTGCTTCAAGACCTTCAACCGTTACAACAACATGCAGGTAAACCAAAACTACGCTACTAGCTTAGGTTTTCATTTCATAATTTGATCTAACTGATCCATGGTTTGTGCCTCTCTCTCTCTCTCTCTCTCTCTCTCTCTCTCTCTCTCTCCGTTGCTCTTTTTAGAAAGTGACAAAATGAAATGGAAAAGAAAGAAAGAAAGTAAAAAAGAAAGACAAACGGGCTTAATTTGGGTTTTGTTCACGACGATCTTGGATATTGCCTTGATTCAGATACATAAAGCTCTCTCTCTCTAACAAGCATGGAGTTTCAAGTTTTTACTAACATGGGTAAGATGGGGTAGTATTTTAATTTTGTGGTATTGGACTCACGGATGTGTTCCGTGTCTGATTTGCATGCTTTTTTTGGGGGGTTTTTGAGTTTAAATATCTTTTGTGAGACCCAAACTAAGAGAGACAAAGAGAGAGAGGTCGGTATTAGCTATAGCTTTGCCTTTATGAGATTGAACAACACAGACCAATGTTCCTTATGCACCCTTCCCTTCTTGATCAGTTTCTTGAAGTCTGTGCCCTCTTCGAGCTCTATTATGGCAAGTGCTTGTACAACTGAAAACTTTGCAGATTTTTAACCAGAAGACACTGATTGGCTTCGGTTTAATCAGTAACTTGCATTTTCTATGTATGAAGATTCAGCAGTCTGCGTGTAACTGAACCGTGATATAAGAGTGAAGAAATATTAGCTTCTTTCATTCAAAATCTCTCTCTCTCGTTTTCTTTCTTTCATTAGATTCTGTGCTGAAGGACCTTGGTAAGACAATGCAAAACTTGGGGCAGAACAAGAACCACCACCCTTAGTTTCGCCCTTAATTTCAATTTGTACCATTAAGATACAGGATAATATATAGTAACTCGATCTTCTATCATACAGCAAATTAATAGGTTAGAAACCAGAAGCCATCTGATGAGAGCCTATTCTTCTTGGATCAGGTTCACACAAAAGAACATGAGAGATTCCATTGACAGATATATGCTTTCTCCATATGACTAAAAGAAAATTATTGTCAATGTTCATTCTCAGTCAAGTGGATAGAAGCTTTAGTAAAGGCGCAATCTCGCGTTGCATTGTCTGAGGAAAAGGGTCTAATAAATACACTATGCAACTCTCTCGACACTACTGAGAGAGAGAGAGACCGTCCTTTTCAGCTTAGTAATTCGATTAAAATAAGACACATAAAGAAGTATACAGAACCCTCCACGCCAATCAAAAACTTTAATCACCTTTTTCCAAGTAAAAATTTGTCCTTCGACATAAGCATGGCAAAGAAGAGACTGATGCTTCTTGCTAATGATCTATGCTGTCTAATCTTGCCGATCTATTTGAGCATATATAACTCTAGGATAATGTTTTCTTTTTGGTTCGCAGATGCATATGTGGGGGCATGGATCTCAGTACCGGAAAGGCCCCGAGTCTCTGAGAGGCACACAACCAACCGGCATGCTCCGGCTTCCCTGCTACTGCTGCGCACCTGGTTGCAGGAACAACATCGACCACCCGAGGGCGAAGCCTCTCAAGGACTTCCGGACGCTGCAGACGCACTACAAGCGCAAGCATGGGATCAAGCCCTTCATGTGCCGCAAGTGTGGCAAGGCGTTCGCGGTCCGGGGCGACTGGAGAACCCACGAGAAGAACTGTGGAAAGCTCTGGTACTGCATTTGCGGGTCTGACTTCAAGCACAAGAGGTCGCTCAAGGACCACATCAAGGCCTTTGGAAGCGGCCATGCCGCGTATGGCATTGATGGGTTCGAAGAAGAGGATGAGCCAGCGTCTGAGGTAGAGCAAGACAACGAGTCCATGCAGTGAGAGATAGGAAACAAAAGTAGGGGAATTAGGGTATGGCAAGTAATTAAAATAGGATGATCAAGTTTGACAAGTGTAGTGGCCTTTTGAGAATTTCTTTTAGAGAGTTTGGGAGCTTGTCCTCCAATTGTATAGCCAAGGCTAATGATTAAGAAGAAATTCATGAAATGTATCAGTGTGTGACCCTTCTTAAACATTATAAATATATATCATGGAGTACTTTACCTTGAAATGTAGATCTGAAACATCTGATGGTTGTGAAGATCTTAATTTATAGGAGAGGTATATATATAGTTGCTTTACTTGATGCTTATTAGGGCTTTCAGTATGTGGCTGTATGTGGCTGAAAAAACTTAAATAAGCCACAAGCTGACTAATGACAAGTATTCTCTAAGAAAAGGTAGGATAAGTTAAGCTTACTCCTCTATATGTGAGGAGGTAATTTGTGACATGTTAATCATACATTATTATCTTGGTATGTACTGGAATGGAATGTCGCACCACGTGGTGGTGCCCTAATTTAGTTGAAGCTTTTGAGTCGTATCTTGTGGGTACGTATTACACGGTGAGAACACTGTATTGTCGAACATGGCAATATCACGTATGCATGCTTAACTAGCTTTTACTTTTATGGAATAAGTAAGTATTCGTCTCTACGGCGGCTCAGAGAAACTATTTCGTTTGACCAGCTCTCATATTTCAAGCTAGCTGACAGCCTTTCAGTTAACACCTTGATGCCTTATTTTATGTTTTAAAGGAAAGTATTTGAGATTTCTTACACTGTAATAGTATATGGTATTGATAGAATATGGTATCTTCTCGGCGTATGAATTAAACCTTTTCGAGTGACCTACACATGGGTAACAATCATCCGTCCAAACGAATAAAGGCATACTGCGGAGGCCAGTCAAACGACAAAGAAGCTCCTTTAGGAGGCGATCATGACACGAGGGCACTAATTAATCAAAGCCATGTCATGAAGTGTCTAGGATGTTAATAAATATTCCACATATTTGGGGGGTCTGTTCTTGGATTTAATAACACTAACTGCCCTTTTGAAGATCCTCTTCTGCGAGTCTTCACCAAATCATGGAGGTTCTCTGAGTAGCGAAGGAGGAGATGAATATGAAAAATATACATATATATAGGCTTTTCGTGTCCTGCAAAAATACAACAGCTTTTTGGGGGTGCATATGATGCTCTTGCGCTTTGGTTAGTGGAGAGATGGATGGGTTAGTAGATCGATGGAACATATACCCTTTTCAGATTCACCATTGCTTGAGGAAATTCAAACCAAATTATTAAGCTTTTTTGGCTAGAGGGAGGGGAAAAATATTTAGGGAATGATAAAAGTGACAACAACACAATCAATTGCTTTGGCATTTTGGAACATGGTTGTCGTGGAATGAAACTCGGACATGGGGATATTACATCCGCAACTGGACATGTCTGGAGCTTCTAGTGTAATGCGCGAAAATGTATTGAGTTATCACGATTTTTTCCGCCATGCTTTGGGAAATTCTTATCGGAAATATTATCCAACTCAACAATGTCTCAAGTATACTCAGAGAATGGACATCCAATGAACTAATCAGCCATGGACTTTCGCGGGCGTAATTCTTTTGCGCTTTAACCTACATATAGCACAATGTAAGAAAAGAAGAGATTGCTGCTCCTTTTTATACTAACTTCATAAAGGAGCATCGCCCATGAAAAAGTTTCTTTTCACAAGTGATCTCCAGACCACGACACATGTGCATTGAGTTAGTGCCATGATCTTGAGGCCACTTGTGAAAAATGAAACTTTTCACCAGCAATTGTACACTGCAAAAGAATTATTTTGTGTGTCGAGGAGGCTCATCTAGACATAGGCAGGAAAGAAAAAGAAGAAGATACTATTAAGTACAGCTCCGCTGCTCTATATGTTTTCTGTGTAAGGTTTATTTATATGGTTCACTTCCTAAATGCTGATCGATTCAACTGTTGATAAGCAGATGCAGGTAACTCGTTTTTGTGAAAGATGAGGGTGATGTACTTCCACTGAGAGAGAGGGAAAGCGAAAAAGGGAGAAGGGTGAAAACGCAATCAATTATTAAGGGCATAGACTAGACAAAAAATGCGGGTCATCAGTTGAGCCACACAAATATGGACACCCTTCGAAATGGCATGAATGAATCTTCGTTCGCAGCTTTATTTCTTGTGCTTTTGCGTGTGCCGAGAGAGAGAGAGAGAGTTTTGGTGGGAGGCAAAACAAAGTTCTGGTTTGTAGGGCTAGTTTCTTGCTTCACGACTGTGCACAAAAAGCGCCCTCTCCAGCTTCACTCTGACGGGTAAACTGTAGATTGAAGAGACGTTTCAATAAATCTTTGACCGTCTGAGCCTCTGTTCGCTCTGAAACCGCTGCTGTTTCTGCATGTTTGTAACAAGTTTTTTATTGCAGAAAAGCATTTCCGGTATGGTATTGAATGATGGCAGGACGCTGCGAAGCTACTGTTGCAAAGCGAGAAAACCTCACAAAAATTTTCGAAATTCTTCAGAGTCACGTCTGTTTTGTTCTTCAAACGTATCGCCACCGTCTTCATCGTCATCATCAAGACGTTTAACTGACAAAAGTGTCAGTGGGATTGGGATGATGACCCAATGGCAGAGTTTTTTTTACTGATTTCTGTGTCTACTGTTGGGCAAAAAAGTACCCCGTGAATCAAGAGGATGCCAGCTAGAGATTAATTTACCAATATTATATATTAAATGATGCGATATAAATCGCGAATAGACGTCTAAATACACGAGTTATATTTACTAAAATCATATCCTATGCATGTTTAATTTTTTTTCTCTATTCTGAGTATAGTTAGGGTTGGTAAGTTAACCATTATCAATCCCCTACACTAACCCTAAGTGAAAGAAGAGCAAATTTATGTTTTTTCCTAACAAGCTAAATGTTCAGCTAGGGCACAGCTTCCCAAGAGAGCTTGAAATCCCAATGAGCTTTTTTCTCTTCCATTTTTCTCAATAAAATAATAGAATTGCATGGAATAGTGTGGGTTCGAGAAATTATTTGTTAACTTATATTTATTCTGTACACAAAATATTATATGGTTTATTGCAATTTGCCGAGGAGACCGACCAAGCATCCAGGGATAAATGTGTGTGTTTCTCATCCTTTAAATCCACACTCCGACGCACATGGGACAGCTTTGTCTCCTCTGGCTCGAATCACACCACTTGGCTTTCATGTTCTTGCAGACATCGTTTTGAATTTAGGGCCACTCATTTTCTAATTTACAAGGCATTTCAATCTGAAAACCACTCTTTTAGGGTTTGATATAGAAGCCCCAATATGTGAATCCCTTTCAGCTTTGATCAGCAAGTGATAGAATTCAATCTCAACTTAGGGTTTGATATAGAAACATCCCCGATATGTCAATTACCCGGGTCGGTCGCGTTGCTCTTGCCATTAAAGGCTATTAACCTCAAGCTCAATACATATACACTTGCCGGAAAAAAATGTCAAAATTTGAAAGATCAATATATAACACATATATATCTTGTCTTTTAAACTTTTCAATTTCACTTATTATGCGCAATTTAGATTGCTTCACGAGGGTCTTCATGAAGAAGATATGAGAACAGAGAAAGTTAAGCATATGGATTTATATATTTTGACATACAGCTCTAATCCTCAAAGGGAATAATTGAAGTAATAATTGGTATCGACTTTAAATCGAGGATCCCTCAATTCTCTCTAGGCACTAGCAAGACAAGGTAGGGGACCAACGACACATACATTCAGGTAGCTGGTAAAATTATTCTTGAAGGTTATTGAGTGATGGAGAAGAATGCAGGAGAATTTGAGGTATGGTGGTGATCCCCCAATGGGTGAATGAGACAACTTTTGTTTTTGGGAGGTCCCATTTGAGCAAAAAGAAAAAGGGGAAAGGCAAAGAAAACCAAATAATCTCTTGACCCATAATTATCACCTTTGAAAAGGAAAAAAAATTGCAAGGGGGAACCCAAAAAAAAATCCCTCTTTTGAACTTATACCGTAGTAGAGACTCTCTCTCTCTCTCCCTCCTTTCATTTTCGTCACCTAAAGTTAACTACTAATTTGCTTTGATGCTTGGAGATTCTCCAAATTGTGGGTGTGTTGGGGTATCTTTCTATGGGGAATATCAAGAAAAGCTTCATAGAGAAGAAAAGGAGCACCCTTTAATCACAACCCAGAGAGAGAGAGAGAGAGAGAGAGAGAGAGAGATGATATAGATCCAGGCTTTTCTCTCTGCTAAAGGTTGGACAAAAGCTATGGTTTGACGTTCATGCCTATCAATCAAGACATAGGTATATCTAGTTAATATCTCTAAAGATCCCAATTTGAGCACATAATCAAGTCTACTTGCAGAAGATCCTATTAGATAACGACGTATTTATATAAAGGGGAAGAAGTGAGTATCCAAGGACACGGATTAGGAAGAACATATCATAACCCAACAGGAATAATACCCTTCATTATAAGTACTTCAATTGGAACACCGGATGATTCCATTTAAGTTTAGAAAACAAACATATCATGAACTCTCCAGCGATGATCATTCAAATTCTTTATTCCGGTGACACAATTATTCTATTATTCTCATCAATTAAACTCAGCTCGCGGTTTGTTAAGTACGTTGCAAAAATACGTACATGCATTGTCCATAGGTATTTCGCATATAGACTAAATGCAGTCGCTTTTAGAACATAATATAAGCTAGAGATGATGCTTTTGGTCATGCATCCTTTCATAGTGATTTTGTAAAAATTTACTGACTCTTTTGAATTAGTATGCTTGCGAAATCGATAATCATTCACAGATTAGTTATGCCAATTAGGGTTTCGGTTGCATGCAGCATCACTAAAATCGGGTGTTGACTGGCTAGTTGGACGGCTTAAGTTGATGCTTTCGTGGGACATATATTAGTACATGTATCACATAGGACGCTCCAAGAAATGACAATTATAGACCAGGATCATTATACCTTTCGCAAAAAGAAATCCTAAATCAAACGACAAACACAATGGACTTTTGCTTTCAAAAAAGAGCACTTTCACCAGTTTCCCATAAATGTTTGGCCAAGTATTATTAGTCCCTGAAATTCAAAGCACAAAGATCGTATAGGGTAGCCTCCAAGATTTTTAGAAAATTGCATAGTGTCGGATTTTAAGGGTCGTCTAGATTGACCATCTACTTTTTGT